GCACTCAAATATCAACAACAAGATTAATGATCAGCCAAAATATGATAGTAAAAAATGTGTCTATTTGTGGATTACTTATAGTGGGACTCGTTATAGTACGCCAAGCTATAAACTATAATTCTAATTCAGATATGACGCTGTCGTGACATTACTCTCAAAATGTATATATATTTTGTGCTCATGAATATTTTTTTAAAGAAGTAAGTGAGAAAAAATAATAATTTAAAAACGATATTTCTTATACAATACCACAAATCCACTAAGACCAGTCCAACTTCTAACTTAACACATAATTCACTAACCACCAGAGATTTAAAAAATCTTTTTTGATAAAAGAATACTACTCATCTTCCTACCTTTTATTAATCCCAATGCTATTTGCACAGAATGTTGTCAAACGGTTTTTAATGTAATCTTTATGACCCAAATTGTCACATTCAAGTGAGGTTTCTCTGTATTAATTTTAAATTATGGTTAAATAAATGCTAAAACCATTTTGTCTTTTTTTTCTTTGGGAATAACTGATTTTGCAGTGCAGGCTTACAGCATATTTGATATAAAATTATCTGCAATATAAAAGAAGAAATTAAATCTTTAATTTATACTTTCTTTGCAGATGTTCGTGAAAAACCAGAACTTGTCAATAATACCACTTTTTCACCATCACGATCTTATGACTCTCAGCTCAATAACTTGGGTATTGAAGACAACCACTCTCCTGTTAAAGATAATTCTAAGTAAGAATTTTATTTACGGTATTCATTGTTTCATATTGCTATACAAAGTAACAGGTCACGGAAATTTTAATTTAACCAAAATTTACAGACATAAAATTGTAATATTTGTCTGTGGCTTTGGACTGGAACTGAAATAGATTCCATTTTTTAAAATTTTCTTGGGTGTTTTCTCTTCAGTGTTGGAGGGTGTAAAATCGAGCCCTCAAATTTACAAATAACTTCAGTTTATGATTTCTTTAAAAAATTGAATGTCTACATTATTTTGCAAATATTCCAAATGCATTTAGGTTTGGTTTTATGCTTCCAACTTCAGTTCAAAGTATTATTAAACTATAATTGTTCTCACTCCAACAAAATGAAGGAAAGAAAATCATAAAGTAAGGAGTGAATTTTCTATGATTATTTATTCATCATTTCGTTAATTTATTATAGTCTTGTGATTTTCAAAATTTCTTCAAAATTCCCCCTTTAAATACCTTGGTAAAAAAAAAAATTATTTCTGAAATCTCTCTTTGTGAGACAGACCTGCTTACTTACATGCCCAGCCTCAATCTACCCTATCCTCCTTCACTTCAATACTCTATTGGCCCACCCTCTCTTACAATCTCCACCCTATGTTTTCCCCAAGACCTAACCAAACCGACAACTCAAAACCCTAACCTGTCCCACTCCAACACTGCCTTTCTCCTCATCCTTCTTTACTTACTCCCTTATACCCAATCTCACCATCTCCAAAACCATCCCTGAAATTTGCCATTCCCCTTTGTTCCCTTAAACCCCCCCCCCACACACACACACAAATTCACCCATAATCCCGATTACCCTCACACTCTCCCCTTCATCATTATCCTACACCAACTCCCTTACCCCAGCTTTGACAGAGATATTCAAAAATCTTCTTCCACATATATTTTTCAGGGCAGCCTCACGTTCTGTCGATGACGAGCTGTACAGGATGCATATGTCAACTCCTGGAAGTGGACAGAAATCTGCACGGAAGGGGGCTGTATTTGGAAGCATAGAACGTATGCTAAACATGCTAACACCAAAGAAAAAAGGCTCTTTAGTGGATGGACCAAGGAAAGCTAAAGTGAGTTATACTCCTAATATAAGTGCTCTAATACACAAAATTGTTATGTAATAAATAGAAATGAAGGAACTCATGTTTTCTAATGTTTTGTGTGCGTTTGAGCCCCTAGGTATTATTATTGAAAGGAGAGTTTTAAAGATTATGAAATATCCAAACTATTTGGAGCCACCACCAGGGATTGTTATTACATTATTGCAAGACACATGCAAGTTACTGAAACAACATTCTGAAGTGACAAGGACAGAGCCTGGAATATTAAGAGTCAGACATATTTTTAAAGATAGAAATAAATGGGGAGTATTTCAGTACCTGCAGCCTGAACATTTTTTTATTCTAAGTATACAGTAGCATTTGATTTTTTATTTTATTTTTTTTTTACAAACAGGCTTTTCATAATGTTTGTCTAACAAATGAGCTCAGCCCTGATCATGTTCTGACAACACTGAAAAAATCCTTGCAGAATAAGTGCATACCATTTAAACAGAGCGAGTAAGTATCTTATCATAACAGATCAAAGCAGAGTGCTGGTTTGCTGAGCAGTCTAAACTGAGTCAATCCCAAGATTGTGGACTTGGAGTCAGTCCCAAGATTGTGGACTTGGAGTCAGTCCCAAGATTGTGGACTTGGAGTCAGTCCCAAGATTGTGGACTTGGAGTCAGTCCCAAGATTGTGGACTGGGGTTCAATCCCCAGCTAAAGCCTAGACAAGCAAAAACAAAACCAGTACCCCAGGTGGATGGGACTCGTTGATCCTGGATGGCAACTCATCTAAAACAAGGCAAACTCTGTCAGAGATCGACTCCCATAGGCACAGTATGATAGTGACACAAAATAATATGAAAATTCTGGCAACACAGTGAAACAAACAAAAACTAAGTCTTGCCATTTGATTAAGTAGGCAAGGATGAGAGAGTGAGGCTGATGAATTTAGCAACTGTCACTCTTTTTAATAAAAGTACAGCTCAAGTCTAGACTACGCAAGTCCAAGCCTTGGTCATCTTTGCATGCGAAGGACGAACAATATAATTATAATAATCATAATAGAAATCATCTATACTTACATTTAAGAAATAAGAATAGTAAATGTGTACTTCAAATCCTAGACTAACTATCCACTATTTGAAATATTTTAGCATGCTAAAATGCTAAAAACACCTACAAGTTAATCAAAATACAGTACAAAAAGACTGTGCAATTAGCAGTGAACCAATATTAAGTCAACATAGCTGTCAATAAAATAAAGAACCTACTACTACTACTACTACATTTTTTTTCACTTTTCCCCCTCTCCAGTTACTCCCTACGATGCACTGTAATGGATGACTGGGGCCATACCAAACTGGCTTTTGATCTAGAAGTATGTGCAATTACCAAGAACTCCTTCATGGGAGTGCACAGAAAACGAGTCAAAGGTGACATCTGGTATTACAAGAGATTGTGTGAGGACATTCTTCGCACTTCAGGATTCATTTGATGGACATCTTTAGTCAGCAGTTTATTCCTATTATAACTTTTACTGTTCTGAGGCAGCATTCGTTGCTACTTAGATTCATTGATATTTATGGTAAAATAGTTGTCCTTCCAGTTTGTGACTATTTATATATATATATACTACTAGTTAGCATGTGTATTTCATGTCAATGCAAAAGCTGACCCTTTTAAAACATTGTATATCATTTCCTACACTGTCCAATTTTTTAAATTTATGATAACATATTCTTGCAAACTTGATTTATATCCCTGAAGAATTTAGTGTGGTTTTAATTAACCATGGCAATCTGTGTTCAATTGTTCTTTACCTTCAGTGCATTTGATATAATAAATATTAAAATTTAGTTCCTCTTTTAAACGTATTAAACAAAAGAATAATTCAGCATAAAACTGTTTTAACCTGTTCAGATTTATAATTGATGTAGAAAAATACAATTTTGTTTTTAATGCTTATTAACTATTTCTTTATTTTGTTGCCAGTATGTATTCAATAAAAAGGAAGCTGAGAAACTCCAAATTTTTATGCAACAATATAATTTGTTCATACATTTTTTCAGAATTTTCCCCTCCAGATCTTAACCCATTCAAAATATGTCCTTCAGTTTGCAACAGATCTCTAACTTTGCTTTGAGAATGAATTTTTTAAAAGGGATTACTTTTTTAGTTAAAATAGTGCAGCTGCATGTTTAGCCAATGAAATTATGTGAACTTTCAAATATTATGTACTTAACCAAATCTGTGAAAAGGGTTTTTATAGTCCATCTAATTATTTATGTTGGATTATTTTATTGGATCCCCTCACTCCCTTTTTGCTTGTTTTAAATACCTTTTAATTCAGGTTTTCATTCATAGTGAAACATATTTATCCAAAATAAGTAAAGCTCTTCAGTATTTGATGATAAGTCTGAATTGGTTGTTGGTGTCTTTTTAATTGTGTATTATCTTTTATATAGTTTGAACTAGGAAAAAAAATGTTAATTAAAATGTTATTTATTTACATACCTTAATATTTTATTATGATGCTTTGTTATGGAACTAATGTAAATAAATCTATATGCTTGATACTTTTGATTTACTTTGGATCTCATTTTCTTTTCGAAAAAAATGTTTCCATGTAATGTAATGTTTTCATAGCCAATTTCAATTACACATTTGGTTTCAATTGGCCTGTATCAGCATACATAAATTAATCCAAAAAATGAATTAGTAATAATGATTATTTTGTGAAGGTTTTTTTTTTTAATCCATTAAAAACAGATTCATATTGCCATCTTCCACAATAGAGATTTATATTAAAATAACTCTTAAGGTGATGAATTTCAGTAATTCATGAAAAATAAATTAAAGTCTCTCATTTCAGATAAGTTTGTCAAAAAACTGGAAAAAGTGCTTTGTTCCAACTTTAAAAAGAAGGAAGAGCAACCTTTTTGTCCAGCAGGGGACATTTAACTGCATTTATCCTGACAAGGACCACTGGAGTCCAAGAGGGGTTTTCTCCCTTCCCTGGATTCAACCATTCAATGCAATAATCACCTGAATCAAAGAGACTGATTTTATTTTAGGTATATAAAGACATAGATCTAGAGTTGTTTTTTGAAAAAATAATTTATACAAATGAAATGGTAAAACACTCTTATATTTATACAAACAATGAAAAGAACAACTAAAATTATATGCAGTTGCAGCTAAGATATTTTTTAAACTATATATATCATAATTCTATTATAGTATAGTTGTAAAAATATTAAAACAAGGTTAGTCTTTAACTGGTTAACTACCATGAGCCGGTGGGAGCGGCTGGGCATTTCTTTCATTATGGCCGCTGGTAGCACTAAAGTTTGTATTGTAGTAAACGTGACCTAGATTTAATTCGGCCACAGTGGGTTTTTCAATCTGGTAGCTAGTCAGTTAAAAATATCACTTATTGATTACTGGGTACTGTAATACATAAATATATGCTAAAACTCTGCTTTATTCACCTGAGATTGGCTGGGTTTATGAGTACTTGTCCATAACAAATACCATCTGTTCATTTAATGTAAATTGTAATCAAGATTTAAGAAAATACATAATTTCTAGCTTTTAAACTTCAACTAGATTGATTACTTCAACATTTCAGTGGAGTAAAAATCATGTGTATAAATATATAAAGTACAGGTACATGCTTTAAGCTATCTCACTTAATGTGTTTCTGTTCTGTTGCACTTTGGGATGCAATTAGTAATAGCTTGGTGTAGATTAGGTGACTATCAATAAATATAATCATAAAGGTGGTACAGCTGGTGTAGCCAGACCTGAGATTTTCCAATAAAAACTAAAAGCTGTAATCGAGGGTAAAATGATTTAACTCAAACTCAAAAACTGTTCAATCAACACAAGTAATTGTTACTCTAAAAATAATTTGTCAGTTGTAGTGCAATCAAACAACAACAAAAACTTTATTTACAATATCTGTATGAATAAAAAATTTCCATTATGCTATGTTAGTTTTTCATTTAGAGCAAATTTCAATGAAACCCATGCTAAAATCAAGGAGATTTTAAATGCATTTTTGTTTAAAACAATTACTGTCAGAACCAATAATTCAAGCAATGATTAACTGTAGTCAAAAATACCCGAACAACTATCAAAAAAAAATAAATCAAAATCTGATGGTGGTGAAGATACATTGTAATGTTGTGTGAAGATGATAAATATAAATTTTTTTTTTTAAATACTTAACTATTATGACTTGAAATAAAACAAATAATCAATAATGATGATAATGATATTTTAATATTGTGTGTCTATCACAATCTTATTTAAAATATTTGAATGTTTTGATAATCTATTTACATTCTCATGTTAATTCATACTATAATCACGACTACAGTTTACACCAAGTGGTAAAGAAATTTAACTATTTATCAAAAGAAGTACCAGCACTTCTTTTGTAAAAGTAAGGAAATGAGGCAAAACATTAAAAAAGGATGCAACAAATGTGTTGGCAAGAAGCCTTTTCAGACTTATGGGACCTTAACACCACATGACATGAATGTCATGTTCTTTTTCACTTGTTCCCCCTCCTTGTTAAAACCAATCACATTGGACTTACTTTTCCTCTTTTCTGTCCCCATTGCCTGTATTAACTCTCTTACCTACTAAAGTTCTATCACATTACTCTTGCTGTCCTCTCGGATACTACAATGCAGTTTAGTGTTTATTTTCTTATATTGTTTTTACTGCTGTTTTTTCACAAAAGAAGGCTTCTTGCTGACACGTTCGTTGTTTTGTAGCATCTTTCTTCTTTCAGTTTTCCCACACTTTTTTGCACTTATTTCCCTCTACCTAACCTGATTGCATCCTCTCCCCCTTAATATCATTTTGTAAAAGTATGTTAAATGTGAAGGCTTTGAAACTGGTTATTAAAAACAAGCATTAAAAATATAGCTGTATAGTATTGTCATTCATAACTTAACATCTTTGAAAACCATTACAATTTTTAATGTAAAGGGGTTCAAATTAAGAATTTTCTCAGAATAAATAATACCTCTTCATAAACTTAATAGCAGAAGTTGTATTTTTGCTAGTTTTTATTTTTTGTAGTAAAATATTATCCCTCAGGCTGTTCTTTCATTGGGTTCCCTGTACTTCATTCCAATATAATCAAAAATGTCTTCCTCACAAGTTACAGGAAGTGGTTCTCCAGGAACTCCTAGAAATAAAGTTTATTAAAATTTAATCCAGTGAAAACATGAGTTGGTAAAGTAAAAAAAAAATTGTTTAAAATTAATTCAAAATAACTAATTAAATTTAATCACTGATGAAATAGTTTCAAATATTTAATTAAACTACAACTTAAATTTATCAAAAGTTCTGTGTTTCATACTTCCCCATTATGTTTTATCTTTTAATCTTCCGACGGAAAGAACTTTAACAAACCTGTGCTGCCTAAGGGTCTGATGGAATATTCATTAATAGTGAACCCCTGATTTAAAGCTTCTTGACGCATGTTGGCATTGAAAACATCTGAGCCAGTGAAATAAAGCAGTGCACAGTAGTACTGGTCATGTGGTAATAATCTGAAATAAATATTAAATATAAATCCTTTTTAAACGGGGGCCATATATTACAAGCTATATGTGGCCTGTAGTTTCATTTTTTATTCTTTGTGATTGTTACGAACTGGAAATTATTAGTTCAATATCTTTTTTTCTAGGGATAATTGATTTATTTTACAAACCAATGATTTATATAACAAATCTCTTTATTTAAATATACAGCATCTTCTTTCATCCCATTTCACTCTACAACTCCATTACCAACACTCCATTGCTAACTACTCCATCACTGCTGCCATCCAAATCATAACAAAATTAACGTCATTTTCCCCTTACCCAAATACGTCACAAAATCCTAGCACATTGCAACAGCTAAACAAATACTCTCAGCATCAAACACTCACCCATAAACACGAACGAATCCTTAACGGTGATATAATAAAAATTTGAAACAAAATAATGTCTAATGTACTTTTTAAATAATAAAATATTCATTTGAGACTCCTTATTTCAATTAAAATTATGAAACACAAGCTTCTATAAAAATATTTACTTCTAAGCTTACCTTATGTCAATTCTTCTGAAGGGAAATTCTTTTCCATCATCTCCTTCAGGCAATCGGCAAACGCCCTTAAAAAATTGAAAGGGAATTAAATATTTGTTTAACTTTCGAAGGTCAAATTTTTCAAATAACAAATAAGAGTTAATATGAATAATTCTATGACAATTTAAATGTATTGACTAACTCAAACCAACATTCAGTAGGACCAATTAATTCTGTTTCTTTTAACAATAATACATAAATGATAAATATTAGAAACATGTTCTTTTATGCTCAGAAGCCAGAATGAGTATTATGAGTTTAAGCAACAAATCCATGGCACACATGATTTACAGAGTTCCATACTCGATATAAAAAAATTGACTGGCCAGAAAGCTAAGTGACAAGCATGACTTCCTGTTAGTTATCTAGTTATCTAATCTGAAAATACTGTTCCAATAAACATCTTTTTTTTTTTATTCTGATTCAAGGCAGTTCAAAATATAACATCAAACTACGGTTTAAAAAAATTAAAATTTAACATACCATAAATTTAGAATCCCCCAATGATAGCGTGTCTGTTACAAATTTGAGATCCTCAAGACTTTTGACAACATTGTGCAGCAGAGTAGGCTGTTTGAGAAATAAAAGAATCATGATCAAAGTTATACCTAACTGGTGTACACAGTGCTGTTGGTGTGAGCAAGTAAGAAGAGTTCCACAAACTATGGATAAACAGTATTATTAGACTATAGTATCAATCTCAAGTAATTGTTAGAGGGTTGGATTGCAATTAAAGCTAAAGTAGATATTGAAAGAAACAAACTATTTGTGTTAAAGTCATTTAGCAGAACTTGATTAATGCCTCACCATAATTGTTACATACAGACAGTTTATAACTTATAATTAATAGACCAATATTCAGTGTCATGTCATAATGTTCAAAGGGTTGGTACGCACTGAATTAAAAACATTGTGAAATAATGTTTAACATCTTCCCATATTCCTGTAAACCAGGCCTGCTAAACATATGGCCCGCGGGCCACTTGCGGCCCGCCAGCACCCACTTTGCGGCCCGCGAAAAAAAAAATTGATTATTTTCTATTTTAAGTTCAGAGAATTCTTACTTTTTTGCCTGATGTTGATGTAAAATCTTGATGTGTCAGCAGGAAGTCTATGTCGCCACTACTCTCAGCTCCTGCCATTAATGTAATTTAAAACAAGTGAAATTTAGTAAAGGTGAACTAAATTGATTTTCAATAATTTCTTTACTCCAACCATTTGTTTCAACAAGTTAGCTCCAAATAATTTTTTTTTTAAAATTGAAAACATTGGTTAGGGAATCCCAATATTATGGGGAGATGTCTTAATTAAGATATTTGTTGTACTTCAAATTAAGTTAACTCTATAAATATAAGTATATTTTATATAAATTAAAAAACATTTGATTAATTACATTTAGTTCTTCATAACATTTTTTTTTAAAAATCATGACATAATTAACTCCTAGAAGAACCTTAATATTGTTGGACCAGTAGCAAGAGCTGACCAGGTAATGGCATCTCAGTTCAAATTCGTTTAATATTGGAATTAGTCCATGATGCATGAATCAGATATTAAGAAGATAATTGGATATAATTATTTATTCCCCTTTTTAATAATAAAATATTATTGCCAAATACCTCGCCTGAAACTCCCACAAACTTTGACTTTGAAATTTTTGTCCAATTTGTGTATCTGTTCTGTGACAAAGTTCTGTTTATAAAGGTAATTTCAATTTATAATTTATGGACCGGAAAGAGAAACACATATATAACTTTTAGAAAAAAATAACTTTAACAATATAAAAAAAAATTCAAAATAACTCTACAAACATGTTTTTATTATATTTTTGTCTAGAATTCATTATCCAGATCTGATTGAAACTGTTGGAATGAGAGGGGTTTTATCACAAAATCTTTCTGATAATTTCACAATGAACATTTCTATATTTTATTGGGTTTCTTATTTACTTAAATGACTCTGTGAAATTTAATTAACTATAAAGCCCAAGAACTTATTAATATGTCAAAAAACTTCATCATTATTAATTAAAAGTGTTATTTGTAATGGAAAAGAGAAGGTGCAAACTGTAGTCTTATTTTGTTGCTTTCAATTTACATTTCAACCCTTGAAAATGGGAGAAGCTTTTTAGAAAGCCATAATTTTAAGTGAAAATAATTAATTTAACCTGGATTTGGATCATTTCTGCTCTTGGAATTCTTTTCTCAAAATCCTCAAAATGTCTTTGGAAAGAAAATTAATGCATTATATTATATGAATAATTGCATTTTTAAAAATGCAAAAAAGTTGCTAAAACAAGCTTAATATATCAAATCATAAGATTTATCTATTGAAAGCTTACATTTGAAATCTTATTGTGTTAACAAAAATTAAATTTAGTGTTAGTTATTCTAAACTTTAGTTAATAGAAGGTGAACTTTGTTAACAATATTTGATGAACTAGCATTTTTTATTAAAATTGGTCATACTGAATAGAACCTAAGTTTTTTAATATATCATTTATTTATAGTTCTATTCATTCTTAAAAACTTACTTTAGGCCAATTTTTTGATGATGATTTAATTTATCAGAATGCTTCTGTAAATCTGAGAAAGGAAACAATTTTTAGAATATTAATATATAAATATAAATTATAAAATCTATTAAAAAATATTTTCTATAAAAAAAAATAGAGTAGTAAAGCTTTACATGTGTATCATATTTCCAAGCTTGAATGATTTGGAAAAAAGTGTTCAAGGCACTTTCAAGTCTTTGCTATAGATAAGGGGTTTTCAACCTTTTTATTTCTTAACACAATAGAACTTACTATTATTAAAGATTCGCAACCTTAAAGTTTTTGTTTTTTTTCCAAAAAGGTGTTAAAGTAATGAGCATCATCAAATGAAATGACTATCATATAAGATAATATATGTCCATAACAATTATTGCACCCATATTCCAACAATTATTTTTATTCTTGCAAAACATCTGTGAGACTTGGCTACATTACTTTTGAAAAAAATGTCAGTACAAGGAGTTTATGCTAGAGCTGAACTCCATCAGTTGATTCCTAATTTAATACAATATTATAAAGAGAAAGAACAAAAAATACCTTCAATAGACATAATGCCCTCAGATACTAATTTCTGAGCTGCTGCTGGCCTGGAATATTTAACAATGTATCGTGAGTTTAATGATTAACAATAATTATATCTATATATTTATTTCAACATATACTGTTTGAGAATGTTTTGGTTCCCTGAATAAAAGTTAGTAGACACTTAAAAACAACATAAGATGACTACACATTTTGGATTACTTTAGCTTGGAGGTTAATTTTTTTGTTTATTGCCCAAATTGTTAATTCCAGCTGTTAATGAGTAGGAGAAATTTTCTTAATTAATATTAGTTTGCAAATGCCCAGCATTCTGCATGGTTGACTAAGAGGCTATCCATAAATGACAGCACCCTGTAATAGCAGATCCCCCCCAGAATTGTCAAAAAATTTGTAACACAAATTAGTAACTTCTATCACACATCGTCCCCAAGTCTTGAGCTTGGAACCCAATGCCTAGACACATGAAGTTGTTTATGGATGACCCTTTTACCTCCATTCACTGTTATAAGCAGGTATCAGTGTAGGATAATTTTATGGGTATGTTTTTTTTAATCATTAACACCATTGGTCATTAAATATAATAAACAAATTTATTTATTCTTGGATGTAACTAAATTAACGTCAACACAACAAATTCACTCTTTACCCTGGTCGTTTTGAGAATGCTGCTACTTAGGCTTTTCTAACCCCACATAGTTACACTGCTCAGGTGGTGTGAGCTTCTCTCAAACGAGTTGCTTGCTAGCATTGATTTGAATCTTTTTTTAGACAAGCCCCAGAAAATGTGTCCCTACTGCAACAGCTAAAAATATTTATCTTCACAGTATTTAAGATACTCACCCAATTCCTGTCACTTTAGTTAATTCATTTATAGCCATATTGTGATCATCAGCATGTATCTAAAAACAAAACATTTACCAAAATTTACTATTAAAATATTGATGTTCAGAAAATAACTCATAAAAATAATATATTATTTTAATTCCAACAATGACAACTTCTTGTGATCACTTAAAATTCTGTGGTATTTTTCCTTCTTCTACACTGGCATTTATCTGCCCGGATCCATTACTTAATTTTCATTTCAACGTAATGGTTATTTTGCAGTCATCTCTTGTTTTGAATAAAAAATTGCAAAAATGAGAATGATATTTTTATTTATGAAATAAATTATATCTTTTTCATCCCCAGTCTGAAAAGGACGTCTTTTTTTTTGTACTAGTTGGTGTACGGCAGAATTGTGTAATTGATTCTTGGTCATAATTTGACTGATAAGGACTTAGTTGAATTAGAAGCATTAAATAAAGGCATCAAGCAATAAATATTACGAATTCTTTTCTTTGGTATATATATATAGCTCTGAAAAAATGTTAAATTTCATAATCATTTTTAATCTATTAAAGCTGATAGCTGAAATTCAAAAATTTTAAGTTACATAATTTTCTACAAGACGTGACAGCCTTTAATCTTACCTTGTCTAACTTTTCAAGCTTCCCAGTTTTTATGAATTCATCAATTTTTTTTGCAATTTTGTCTCCAATGCCATCCTTTGGTGAAACAAAAAATAATGAAATACATCTATACAGTTATTTACCAGTATGTTTCTATTTCTTTAAAAAGTTTAAGCTTACTAAAATTAATAAAAATAAAATGTAATAGTTTATAGAATAAATTAATTTACATTCAAACTTTTTAAAACAAAAATATGAAGATTAAAAATTTTGAATAAATTGATTTTGTACCTGTTTGTATTGTTCATTTTGAATTTAGAAAAGTATTTGAATAATTATATACTTTTTAATGTATATTTAACGGCAGAAGACTGGAAGAACATCCAGCAATCTAGTCTGCCTTGGAGGTGTGTATGTGTGGGTGCTCTGCTGCAGGTTTGATTAGGCAGCTGCCCTGGGGCCCCCCCTCTGGTTGACAAGGCTGTAGTGGCTTGCTGACAAAAGAAACGCTGCCACTGACCCCCTGGCATTACCAAGGGAACAAAACTACCATTGCATGAGCCTGCGCTGGGAGACAAAGGACATGCATGGTTTCTGCTGAAAATGGTAGCATCACCAAGGCTACCAGCTGTGGAAAATTTGCAGCTGGAAATAAAACGGCAACAGGGTAGGGATAGAGACCGAACGAAAGTGATTTTCTGATTTCGGCCGTAGCCGAAAATAGGCAGAAAGTTTAAAATGACTTTCGGCCGAAACCGAAAAAGTACCGAAAGTTTAAAAATGACTTTCGGCCGAAACCGAAAAAGTACCGAAAGTTATATATGACTTTCGGCCGAAACCCAAACATTTAGATATTTTGAAATTTGTTCCCGCTTACATTCTGCATACATCGAAAATGATGGGAGAAAGTATAAACATTTACATCCTTTTTATAAAAAATGAGATAATCGTGAATATTAATAAATAAACATCTAATATAACATCTTGTTGTTAAAAATTGTTTAGTTTGTTCCTAAAGATCGCTTAGTTTGTTGTTAAAGATCGTTCAGTTTTTTGTTAATGATTGCTTTATTTGTTCGCTTAGTTTGTTCTTAAAGATCGCTTAGTTTTTGTTTAAAGATCTTTTAGTTTGTTATTAAAGATCATTTTGTTTGTTCAAAAATGATCGCTAAGTTTTTTCTTAAAGATCGCCAAGTTTGTGTTATTAAAAGATCGTTTAGTTTGTTCATAAAGGATTTTGTTCTTAAATATCGCTTACTTGTTCTTAAAGATCATTCAGTTTGTTCTTAAAGATCATTTAGTTTGTTTGTATAGATCTTTTAGTTTTTTATTAAAAATCATTTAGTTTGTTCTTAAAGATCGCTTATTTTGTTGTTGAAGATCGCTTAGTTTTTTCATAAAGATCGCTTAGTTTGTTCTGATAGATAATTGATTTTGTTCCTTAAGATCGATTAGTTTGTTCCTAAAGATCTTTTAGTTTGTTCCTAAAGAACATTTAGTTTTCTGTTTAAGATTGATTAGTTTATTCTTATAAATCATTTAGTATACTATTAAAGATTATTTGTTTTGTTCTTAAAGATCCCTTAGTTTGTTCTTTAAGATCGTTTAGGTTCATTTAATTAGAGATCGCTTTATTTGTTTTTAAAGATCACTATATTTGTTTTTAAAGATCACTATATTTGTTTTTAAAGATCATTTAGTTTGTTCTTAAAGATCGCTTAATTTGTTCTTAAAGATCATTTAGTTTGTTGTTAAATATGGCTTTTGATGAGATTTAGATGACCGAAAACCTCAGTCACTTTCGGCCAGAAAGTCAATTTCGACCGAGACCGAAAAAAAAACTAAAGTTAACTTTTCTCTTTCGGCTGAAACCGAAATTAGGCCGAAAGTTAACATTCAGTTTCATCCGAAACCGAAACTTGGCAGAAAGTGATAAAATGGCCACTTTCGGCGCCGAAACCGAAGCCGAAATTCTGTCGGTTTCTAAGTAGGGATCATGATTACATTTTTAAAATTTTTACCATTTCATCCCAGCTGATTAGTTGCGAGGTAGAAACCCACTGTAGAAATCCATATTAGAGGGCATCTGATGCTTCTCCGGGCTTGGAGGGGGAAGATTTTAGGACGTAAATATACCATCCCGACTCCTGGGAAAGTCGACTGTTGAAGCTGTGAGAGTGGCGTCACCGCCGACCGGATGTCCTTGGGCTGGGGTGGCCTCTGTTGATACCCAATCCAGTGGGTGCTGGCGAGGGCTGTCTTGGCAAAGGGAGATCTCCAACATGCCACTTTTTGGCCCGATACTGGGGCTTAACGGGGTGCTTTGGGGAGGGCATTAAGAGCTCCGTACTACCTCAACGGCTTGCTGACACAATTTCTTAATGCACAATTTCAATTGGACATTGAAGAAGCTGATGTTTCTTCCCAATATTTTCTTCATGTTGAAAATTCTAAGAAGCAAAAATTAAAATCTAACAATTTTTTTTAACAAATACTTACTAATTTCTTAGCTTCTGCTCCACTCATAATCTTCACAGGATGTTTTGCTAACACACCAGCTGCTTTTCTGTACACATTATATTTGTGGATAGCTCTGGTTACATTTTTTTCAAAATTTGCCAGTTCTAGAAAAAAAGAAATATTTAAGCAAAATTTCAATTGGAATGATTATTTATTAAGCTAAGTTTTCTGGTATTAAAAAAAAGGCAGAAAAGATGTAAGATAACCACTCGATTTGTAGAGGGGGAAAATTGTAACAGTTCCAGATGATTACAAATTTTTTTTATTTTAGATATCTTGCAGGCTCAATATGTATATAAAATAAGTTTCCAGATAACTGTAAACTACAATAAATCCTAACTGCTCATTAATACAAATTTTGAATTCATTGTTAACAATATCAGAGGCTGATATGAATTATGAATTGTTTTGTCTTATTTTCATTTGATTACAACTCAATATCAAATTTAAATATGATATTTGTTGTGCCCCTGTATACATTACTTTAACTTGCCTTGCTAATGGCCTGTCAGTCTTACCATTATTGTCTGCTTCACCTTGTCTTTTCTATAACCTTTTTCACCAACTTCCCCACACCCAAGAAAGGTGAAATTGTACAACATAATCAATTGTTTTTACTGCATTTAAAGCACAAACCAGTTGACAATTTAATAATTTGTTAGCAATGAATCCAGAATCATGAATATTCAATTTTTATAATTTTTTGTAGTAATGATTGTAATAGAAATGAATGACGCACACTCTTCTGTGTTCGGTGTAACAAATGACCTTATTCTACATTAAACACCCTTTTTATACCTCTACATTCATGATCACTCATTCCACTTTGCCAGGCATTTAAGTTTAAAACCTTCATGAATAAAAACAACTCATGACGTCCAGTCATACCACATAACAACATCACCGGCCAATCAGGTCACAAACTTCACTCACAACAATAATCGTCAGTCATACTGTCACAATGATCTGCTCACCCATAAGGAAGTCACAAAATTCTGAATTAAGATTTTCTGTTTCAGCCTTTCTTTTACTCATTCTGCTTTACTGATTGAAAAACTGAAGAAAAAAAACGGAATTTTCAAATTCTCAAATGCCTAGAACAATCAATCTATTTAAACTTAAACTTTGATTTGTTATAGACATAGAACAAAGGGTTTCAATGAAGCTTACATAATAAATTAATATGTACCTTAAGTATGTTTATTAACATATCTGAGAAATTTTAATTTTAATACCAATTGGTACAGAAATAAGGATATGATGTATATACATAATTAAACTTAAATGTAGTCAAAAATAACAACTGTCCTAAAGTTGTCCTAAAGTGCATTTTGTTCTAATTAGCATTCTGTTTTATATAGGGGTTACTAAATAATTTCTCTGCCATTTGCATTTGCATAGGTCTTTGGAAATGAATTTTTCAAACTTTAGGTTCAAAGTTAAAAAAGAATAAAATATGCAATATTTATTTTAAAAATTTAATAATCTTGGATTGATTTCCTTCCTTGTCCTACAAAGGTTTCATAGACTCTGGGGTTAGAGTTCTTGAGATTGAGAGTATCTGTATGTTTAATAACAATTACACATTGTTTAAAAGAGATGTTCATATGGATATGGTGCCCCAACAAAATTTATATCGTGAAATGATAATTTGAAAAATTGTGTCAAAATTAGCAGTTCAATATTTTATATAGTTTTCATATGACCATTAGTGGTAGGGACATTTGAGATTATCATAAAAAAATGGTTAAAGTCTATTAAAGTTAAAGTGAAACTGAAGGGTATTAATTTTAAATAATTTTTTTATGAGTTTTGTCTAGAATACATTTAAAAGTTTGGGAACCACTGATCTGTTATATAATATAGTCCTAGACTCTATTACTATGATAGAGTAGTAATATTATGCCTAACATTAACATGACATATGACATATGTAGTCTGTATTTAAAAGAAAATGACATGTCATGTATTTTAAATGTATTTAAGTTTGATCATTGATATGTTAATGTTAAAATTTGAACATTCTGCCTTAACACAAGAGATGGCTTATACTTGACTTAAATGATTATGAGTATTCACAATTTTTTGTTCATTATTAGGCCTATACTTTCCTTGTTCAAGTGCAAATGATATAAATTACTATGACTCGTGATGGTCTTATCTAGATGAATGAATAAATGGTTTCATTTTTTGAAAAAAGTCATCATACACATGTAGGCCTAATTAAATAGCTAAAACGGAAGATGGTATCATTTTTATATAGTATAGGCAATATAGGCATAGGGCCTACTTATTTATAATAATTTAAAAAGAGAACTGTGATTATGATGGCGATTGACTTTCTAAACAAATAAGCCTGGCTACATTTTGTTGTGATACTAATTATAGCTCTTCGGAAGTTTTCCTTGTTGAGAACTGCCTTGCCTCTCTCTCTTTCTCCGTCTCTATCTTTCTGTGAAACCCAGAGGCGCCAGAGCCCAGAAGAACGTTGTTACGGTTTCAATGGTGAAAGTCGCATAATAAATTCATCTAAGTACTAAACTAAATGGCAGGGAGAGATGTTGCTCGAGTAGTGAACAGATGTAATCAAGCCAAAGACGATAAAAGACTCGGTACCGTATCCGTATACTAACCCTAACCCTAATCCTATACTATCAATGACATGCAACTTGCAAGGGGTGAAATGTTTGTCAAGTCAAGTCAAGCCTGATATTCAGTGAAATTAAACCTACGTCCGTTCAAGCGACTAATAGTCGACATAGTAATAGTGACAGTGAATGTGAATAAAGTTATTTTATAGGCCTAATTTTAGTTTCATTAAATTGCCTTACTTAAACTTGTCTTCGGGGGGGACAAGATCTTTTTTTTTTTTTCCTACTTTTTAGTATGTTTAATCTGTAAATTATCCACAAAATAATTTTTAAAAGTTACAAAACAAAACAAAAAGAATGTTTATTATTACAAAACTAAAAAGTATAATTTAATTACTGCATGGCGTCCGTTGCCGTTGGTCAATGTCTAATTCACGAAATGCCTGGGGTAGTTTTTTTTTTTTTTTTTTTTTTAAAACCACTTTCTTTTCTTTTTTTTCTCCCTTTCCCCCCCCCCCCCGCCGTCTAAACGCAACATAACGTAGACACCTTAACAGTAACACGGGAACGTCATTTCAGGCAGGGTTTGTGTGTGTGTGTGGGGGGGGGTGCAAAACCAAAACTTGGTCAGCTATTCTTGTAAGGCTTATAACTTATTGAGTTGTTGTTAATTACTGTAATACATTTTACCTAGTAATTTAAATAAAACCAGCCAATTCAGGGGAGGGCAAATACCCCCCAACCCAAATGACGTCCCTGGCTGTAACTATTAGCCTATATATGAGTCAATAACTCAGGCGACCTTTCAGGTCAGCACGGACAAATGCTGAACCCACTGAGCTAGAGTGTCACGTGTATAAATATTATATTATATACTACTACTACTATATTTTTTAGATTTAGAATTAATTTTATTTCTTTCTTCCATATTATTATATTATGTGTAAAAATGATAATAAGTTTTTAAAAATTTGATGAAAATTTTATTTATTTTAACCTTTCCTTATACTAAATGTTTGCAACATTTCATTTATAATGAAATGATTTAGTCAATTTATTTAGTACTTGCCCCACTCCAGGAGAAAGAGGTGTACGAAAATAAACCAAAAATATATTTTTATTAAAAAGACTAAACTGTAATTTTTATAAGTTTTGAAAAGAATAAAAACTTGTGCCTATAACCGATTACAATTAGTAAAACCTATGAAATATCATCATGCTTGATATATTTGATGATCTGTATAGTTAAGGCTAAGCTTGTTAGAGGCTTACACTATTTGATTGTAAATATCATACTGCCCACTCCTGATTATAAGCCGAAGTCTTACTTTTGTTGTTGGCATATATTCCTAACTGCTTTTGTCTTTTAAATATTATAATAAACTATCCCACCTTAGTGCACGCATTATCGTTTTTTCATTAATTATTTTTTAGATTAGAATCTAGTAGATAGCATTTCGATTATCATGCCAATTCCATTTTTTTGGTAGTACTAGTTTAAAAAAAAATTGTTATTCCTAAATCGTCTGTTTAAAATAAATTCTTTGGATTTGGTAAAATGTTTTTAAGTATATCAAAGAGTCAATGTTTATTTATCAGAAAAAAATTATATTAGTTTGAAATTTCAAATAAAAATGTCTAAATTTATACTTTGTTTATATTTACCTCAGATAAATCACACATTAATAAATGTATAATGTCTTTTGTAAATAAATCATGTCTTCTTAACATAATTATGTCAAATATGATTTATAATTATAAAAATCATTTAAAATGACCAGTTTTGAAAACCCATACAAATTTATAGAGCTTTCTGCTTAACATTTCATTTTTGACTCTGGTAAAACTTGGAAATACTTATAAAAGGTAATTATTATAAGTAATTTGTTGTTTGTTTGTGATGGAAACCCATTTATTTATTTATTTTTAAAAATTCATTTATTAAGTAGTTGACCCTGACCCCCAGAAAGGTTTAAATAAAAAATAAAAGCCACATTACTATTTAGCACTATAAAAATTTATTTGAATAAAATAAGCAGGTCCAGCAGAGCCGTCGCTTAACTTTTTGAGGCCCCAATGTCACTTTTCGGTTTTGTTCTCCCCCACCTTGCATTGAAAGATAATTTAAAAAGTGTCCATATCACACATTAAAGCCCCTAAATTATCTGAGGCCCCCACTCGGAATCGTAGGGGTTGCTGGGCTGACATGATGGTTTTAAGGTTAAGTGACACCTAATTTATTTTAACAAGCATCTCTTCCATGTTGAATGTTGCAAAACTAAATTGAGGCATGTGCTAAAATGCATTCTTGTATTTTAAATTCATCAAAAATTTTCTGGGGACTATAAAGATTTAAGGGGCAAGCTATGGCAAAAGCATACACTCAAGGGCGCCACAACTGGGATACATTTAGTTCTGTCTTGCTGGTGCCGAGTTCGAACATTATTATTGCTAATTGTGGCGCTTCCCACTCAAAAGTTTGAAATGCCACCTCAAAATTGTCTGAAAGAAACACCAAATACTAGTACAGGTAAGAGCCAAAGTGCATCCTTGTAATTTTGAATTTGCCAGACTGTCTTCAGAACCCTCAATTTCTGCACCCTCTTCCCTCACGCTAATCAATGTTACAGTAGGGGGTTGAATAAAAGCTTGTGTCAAATTATTACTCTAGGGCACGCCACAACCGGAGTGAATTCAGTTTATGTATGAACCATAATGCCTCCCCCAGACCCTAAGAATGTCCTTCCCCTGATAAAAAATTCTAATAGAAATATTGAATTAAAGAATATTCCAAAATGAACCTCTTGATTTTGAAATAATCAAAAATTTTCTGGGGTGAGACCCCAGACCCATCCTCAATGATTCTGCTCCCTCTTTTTCAGCCCTACTTCCTGATAAAAATGATCATCAATTTTGGTTTCGGTAGATACACTGCCTATTGGCTAGTATTAGTGCTAACATGGGTGGCCAAAGATTTTCATGTTCTCCCTCTCATGCTATAAAAACTCTGCAGTTGTCCAAAATGCTGCATCTTTATATAAAGAAAAAATGACACCTGGGTAGACCACCCCATCTGCCCCCTTTTTACGCCACTGCCAGGGGTGTAGCTATAGTGTTAGATGTCTGAGGACAAGATTCATTTTTTATGCCACCCCCCCCCCCCCTTTTTAATGATTTGTTTGTGTTTTGTGGGTGCATGTTTTGTGCTGAGAGTATTTGTGTAGCTTTTGCTATGTGCTTTGAATCTTGTGATGTATTTGGGTATATGACATGATGTTGGGTGCTATGGTTTTTTAGTAGTAATGGAGTTGCAGAGTGAGAATTAGATGAAAGAAGACCCGCTGTTTATTTAATAAAGAGACATTTGTCATATAAATCATTGGTTTGTTAAATAATTAAATTACCCCTAGATGTAATGAAGCCATTGAACTGCTAATGCAGTACATAACACCCCCCTCAACTCTGAAATCCATTATTTTCAACCATTAAATTCCACCAAAGTCCATTCTGGCACCTCCGCTAGTCTTGGGATGTCTGTCCCATCTGCCACCCCTCAGCCACACCTCTGACCAAAATCTGAACACATACCCAACCTCCTCTCTCCTCCTTCTCTCCCCCCCCCCTCCTTTCCTGAGGAAATTAAAAGAAGCACTGCTCAAGATTATATTGAAGTTTGGAAACCAGGATACAGTTAAGGCTTGGGAAGTATTTTTTACATACCTTGCCATTAAACTGATTGATAGAAAGCAATTCCGTCTAGTTTCTGACTGTTTTGTGTATTGAAGAGCTCTATGCTCCATGTGCCCTGGTTTGACCAAAATTTTTCTAGACCATTTCATGATGTATGTTATGTGCTTATGAATAATAGGAATAATAATAAATTGAAATTTTTCATTATTTTTTTTACTTGTTTAATTGACAGGGTTACTTTCAATTTTTAAACATTAATTACAGATTTGTCAAGGTGTGATCTAACACGAATCCCTGATGCAATTTTTCTTCTTTTGAGAAATATAGAACTCAAATACTGCAGCCTCTCTCAAAATCTTATTAAAAGAATCCCATCCAAGTTTGGAACTAAGTTTCCAACCCTAACAGGTACCAAAAGAATGTTAATAAACATGCTAATATAAAAAGCTAATGTATCAAGAAGTTTAAAAAGTATTGTTATTATTTGTAAGAAAAATAACCAGCTTCCCCTTGCAGCTAGTATAAGAATAAGCTTCCATGGGCCCACGTTCTGGAACCAGCTCCCCTTCCATATACGTCATAGTGAAACCTCGTCCAGTTTCAAAAAGTCCCTTAAAACTCATCTGTTTAGGTCCGCCTATGACCTGTGATGCACCCTCCTTGCCCTACCTCATTTTCTGTTTCGGGTTGATCCTGAAGTGTCAAAGTGTCCTCGTTTTATAGCCATTTTCATTGTTTCTATAGAATAGTAGTTACTATCCTAGTGTCTCATTTTTATTTTACTTAGTTCACATGTTTTAATAATTGTAAAGCGCTTAGAGCTTTATGATAAGCGCTATATAAAAATGCTTAAATAAATAAATAAATAAATAAAGAGAAAATTGACTATTTTAAAGACATATTCCTTTTTTCTAGTTTGGTTAACACCCCAAAATTGCTTTTTTCCTGGATCTGGGACTGCATTTTGCTCCTAATGATTTTATTAGTTTTACTTTTTTTATGCATTTAGTTTTAAAAATCTAAATATGTGTTCTTAAAATTTGAATTAGGTGTCATAAATCTGTGTAAAGCTAAGTGTGTTTTAGGCTTTAGATTGGGAAGAAAATAAACTGTGACCAAGTCGGTATAAATCCTTCAGTTATACATAAAAGGCTATCCCATTTTTTTAGTATTTTTGAGTTCAAACATTTTTTACTTTTACAGAACTTATTTTGAGCAGTAATCATATCTCTAGCTTACCAGATGAGTTGAGGCTTATGGAGGGACTAACAACTCTTGACATATCACATAATGACTTTGCAGCTTTGCCTCAGGTTGTTTATAAGTTGGATAACCTCAAAATAATAAAGGCTGAAAAAAACAAAATTAAAGGTATACAATTATTTTCATAACTAGTTCTGTTAGTCATTGAACTTGTTGAGTTTTAAAGATTTCCTTGTGAAAAAAGTTATTTAGAAATGATTTATGTGGGGGAAAAATCTGACTTATCACTAATAAGTCATGATTGTCTCTAAGGGAGCTTTTCTTTTGAACTGTTCTAGTTTTAAAATGTTGTCTGGTAAGAATATTTAGTTATCTATTTGCTGAAAATAGTAATGTACAGTGTAATAAAAAAATATTTTAATTTATTTGGATCCATAAAAGAATCGTATCTTATTTTATTAAATGGGAAACCTAAATATTAATATTTCTATAATTAATTATACAATAGCTAAGTTAATTTATCTTTCATTTGTATTTAATTTTGGAAATGTAATAGAACTTGATGTGCAGCAGCTGAAACGGCTATCCAGTATCTCAGAAGTAAATATGCAAGACAATCCTTTAACACCAGACATGTATACACAGCTGACGTTACTATCAGATGATATCACAATGCTCTTGACACCTCAAGATTCAGAGTTTGACAGCGTTGATTGAATCATCGAATGCTATAATTTATTTATGGAATGGAAGGTTTTTTTGTATGAAAACCTGTAAACGCTTTTTTACAAAGATATTTGTAATTGATTTTATGAAACTACTTTCATTATATTGTTTAATTTAATTTTATTTTAGATAAATGTTTAAGTTATTCAATTCCTATGTTAAAAGCTTTTTAATTAATTTTTTTTTTGTTAAGACATTTGATCCCTTCTTTTAAAAAACTTGTATGAATGCAAAGTAAGGTTTTTACTTATATTGCTTTCATATTTCAGCAGTCATATTTATTCATTTAATTTTTTAATCTAGAACTTAAAACTTCATGTTTTCCATATTTTTAGTCATAGTTGTTTTAAGAAATAAAATCCTTGTTAAATTTTTAAACTTGAATAAAATGTTTAATACATGGGGAGAATTAAATTAAATAAGATGATAAATAAGAGATTTTATATTAATCAAAATGCATTAATTATGCTTAAGTGGGAGTTTACCCAAAATGTTTGAAGCTTTTGTTGGTGATATTTATTTTATTTAAGCAAAAATTATGTGTGCTTCTTTAAAATGCACACTTTCTGTGCATTATTTTAAGTGATATTGCTACTTTCACGATCTTCTAACTGTGGAATATCTCTATAATTAAATTATTTTTATAATAATAAGTAAATTCACAATATAATGAAGTGATAAACACTAAGTTTAGAAAGGAAAATTAATGAAAATTTAATTCCCATTGATCAACAACAATAAAACAAATTATGTCTGGAGGGGGGTGGGAGTATGTTGGATATTTTTATCAGATATTTTGATAGGTTAGTTATTACGAAGAAGAGAAAGGTGTAACTGGCTCTCTTTTATACATGGTTGTTAAATTAATTTCATAACTAATGTAAATATAATGTTATATTATTATCTTGATAAGCTAAGCTGTGAACTGCAGGCACTAAATAATGTTTAAATAATGTTGAATTTTATTAAGCACATCATGGCAGAATACCCATAGCCATACTGTCTCTACAGAAAATCCTTGAATGAAGACCAATACATGGTTTTATATTGAACTTCAAAGTTTTTTCAAAACAGCTATTTAGTTCCACCAGCTTGTGATGCTTTCACTGCTGCCATTGCACTCATGTGGAATAGGACAGGTCAAGGAAACCAGACTCTTCCCAACAGATATTCATATTGTGACAAATATTAAGCAAAACGTAACTCATTATTGCTCTTGCCTAATTGCAACTGATGTAAAGCTAATTATTTGAATGTCCAGAAACTGATGTAAAGATATAATAATTATTAGAATGTCTAGAAGCTGATGATCACAATGGCGTTTATGGTGTATTATATTTTAAATATATATTTTAAATGATAATTTGCATGTATAGTTGTTTTTTTATTATTTTTTAAAAATGTATTTCTGGGCTTAATAAATTACATCATGCAGGGGATTCACATTTTTGTGACGAGGAAAGGGGGTGTTTTAAGCCATGTGACATCACATTAAAACCACATTAAAACCAGAACATAATTGAAACAATTTGCGATGAATTAGCTACGGTACCGGAACCTTAATTTACTTTTAGGCTGCACAATTTGTAATTATTGAATTTTTATTCTTTACATTTGTGAATTTTTTATCCAAGCGATAGGAATGTTCTGAGAATATTAAATTTATACTACAATGACGATAAAAGTTATTTGAAACATTTATTTTTAGTTTTGAAAATGTGGATGTGGAGGAGGGTGGAGTCAAAAATCGGTAAAATAGCGTGGCACCATTTATGGATGGCCCCTTAAGTAGTGAGTAATGTTCAATACTTAGATCAGGGGACTTAGTCGGAAGTGGTGCATGAGGATAATTCAATGGTCCATGAACTACAACACACAACTTATGTCATTTGTAGGCATATTCTCCTACTGCAACATGTAACCTAAAAAACTTTGTGTGCCGCAAGTGTCTTGGCCATTAATTTGGGGACACTGGCTTAGAATTACAGTATGGTAGATCTTGTACCGGTACACAGTTAACACAGTTAGTCTAATGTGCCAATGAATAATGATGAATGAAGAATGCGAAGAAACACATATAAATACACTAAGAATAATACACGTATCTTGAAGTTTATTAATTATCTATCTGAATCTCCGTATCTGTCACTCCCTTATATACATTTAGCGTAAGACGCTTCCAGAAAATACTTATGACGTGTTGTTTACATTTCTCGGGTTATCGCGAACATTCGACAAGATACTAGGAGACAGTCTAGCCATGTTTAAATGGTAAACACGGTTGTAAACAAGATACATCAAAGAAATATAAGCACACCCACAACAAACGTTACCGTCTGCTAGTAGTCTAATGCAGGGTCAAAGAAAGTTCACGGCACAGGGAAAAATGCCCTACATAACACCGATCATGCACAGATCAAATTGCAATATTAAGACTACTAATACTAATACTATTTTAGGACTACATAACTGAGTGACCGACGGGATGCTATGGCTATGGCCATCCAGAAAGCTTGCTGTCAACTACCTGCATTTTACACAAGTAAAAAGTAATCCATCCATCCCTGTGGCGCTACACCACTTCCTTCCACTCAGACCTAACTAATGCCTTTCTTTTCCATGCTTGGACTTTCAGCTGCTGTAGATCTTTTTCCACATCATCTTTCCACCTAAGCTTAGGTCTGCCTTTGAGCCTTTTCCTCTGTTTGAAAAAGTAAATTACATATAATAAAGTTGAGAAAATAAATGAGTTGCACAAATACCAAAGTACGAAATTTTGGTCCATGGACAATGACATGATACTAACAATGCAGTGTAGGAAAAAATTATTCGGGAAGAAATTTGACCTTACACCGATTCGAGTTAAATATCTTTACCCATGCAGAGCCGAGACCTTTGGCTTAGGATTTTGAGGTTATCGAGGCTTGTCTGTTTATAGTTATTGGAGCATCAATTAACAATGGAGTCTTTCGAATGTGATGTAGTTGTGATTGGGGCTGGATTATCCGGCCTTTCAGCAGCATACTATTTAAATAAAAAAGATAAAGGCCTGAGAATAATTGTTCTTGAGGCGAAAGGTAAACACTGAAATCCATATAAATTATAAAAATTGTTAGTATAAGTATAAGATAAAAAGTATAAATAAGAAGAAAAAAATGACACTTTTTTTTCAAAAAGTTTTTTTTAAAAAAAGTTACTCATGACAAACATTTCAATAATAAGAGAACGTCTACTTTATTATCTACTCTTCTACTTCATGACTTACCAATTTCATAATTATAATGATTAAATCCAACAAAACAATATGAATCATAACCAGAATGGCAGTAATCAGTAAATGTTTGAATTGATTTTGATTGTCTTGTACTATGATCCAAATAGGCAACTTAATATCATTATCAATTAAAACAGTTTTTTAATCAAATATAATCTAACTGTAAAATATAGTCCTATAATTTATAATTAAACGATACTTTATTCCTTGAGACTTAAAAATATAACAGTTAACAATCATTCATTATTTAAATCATTTGGTGGTAGTCCCCATTTTTTCCCATGAACAATAATTCCAACTGAAACTGGACAATGCCACCGTGGACTCGACATCAATCGAGAGTTTCAAGGCTGCCCTAGCACCCGCTAGGAGCCGTTAGACAGCCGCATTGTTTCCCAAACCCTCGCACATATGGCAGTACTTGGTTGCAGCAACGTAGTCTATCAGAATAAGTTTTAGACAATTTTATCAGATTTTCAGATTGTGTTTTAGAAATCAAAAGCTTTTCATCTGGACAAGCTTATGATGACTATTTTATAATATACTTGAAGGACTCCATCCAGAGTCAGTTAAGACATCAGAGGTATGCTTTGATGGTACGAAGGAGGCGACCACCCTGGCAGCATTTAGTCAGGATATGCCACTGCCCCTCCCCCCCCACCACCACCACCACGCTAAATATATTTTAATTTTATCCTACACCCTTAGTTCAAGTCAACCTTTTGTTAAATAACTGGAAAGAGATTAGAAAAAATATTTTTGTTCTACATTAGAGGCCGACCGAATTTCGGCTTCGGTGCCGAAAGGGGCCATTTTATCACTTTCGGCCAAGTTTCGGTTTCGGCCGAAACTGAAAAGTTAACTTTCGGTTTAATTTCGGTTTCGGCCGAAAGAGAAAAGTTAACTTTCGGTTTTTCTTCGGTTTCGGCCGAAATTGACTTAGACTTTCGGCCAGATGGCCGAAAGTGACTAAGGTTTTCGGTCATTTAATACTCAGCAAAAGCGATATTTAACAACAAACTAAGCGACATTTAAGAACAAATTAAGCGATCTTTGAGAACAAACTAAACGATATTTAACAACAAACTAAGGGACATTTAAGAACAAACTAAACGATCTTTAAAACAAACTAAGCGATCTTTAAGAACAATCTAAGCGATCTCTAATAACAAACTAAACAATCTTATAGAACAAACTAAACGATTTTTAAGACCGAACTAAATGATCTTTACGAACAAAACAAATGATTTTTAACAGTAAACTAAATGATTTATAAGAATAAACTAAGCGATTTTTAACAGAAAACTAAATGTTCTTTAGGAACAAACTAAAAGATCTTTAAGAACAAACTAATAGATCTTAAGGAACAAAATTAATTATCTTTAAGAACAAACTAAGCGATCTTTATGAAAAAACTAAGCGATCTTAAACAACAAACTAAGCGATCTTTAAGAACAATCTAAGCGATCTCTAATAACAAACTAAACAATCTTATAGAACAAACTAAACGATTTTTAAGACCGAACTAAATGATCTTTACGAACAAAACAAATGATTTTTAACAGTAAACTAAATGATTTATAAGAATAAACTAAGCGATTTTTAACAGAAAACTAAATGTTCTTTAGGAACAAACTAAAAGATCTTTAAGAACAAACTAATAGATCTTAAGGAACAAAATTAATTATCTTTAAGAACAAACTAAGCGATCTTTATGAAAAAACTAAGCGATCTTAAACAACAAACTAAGCGATCTTTAAGAACAATCTAAGCGATCTCTAATAACAAACTAAACAATCTTATAGAACAAACTAAACGATTTTTAAGACCGAACTAAATGATCTTTACGAACAAAACAAATGATTTTTAACAGTAAACTAAATGATTTATAAGAATAAACTAAGCGATTTTTAACAGAAAACTAAATGTTCTTTAGGAACAAACTAAAAGATCTTTAAGAACAAACTAATAGATCTTAAGGAACAAAATTAATTATCTTTAAGAACAAACTAAGCGATCTTTATGAAAAAACTAAGCGATCTTAAACAACAAACTAAGCGATCTTTAACAACAAAATAAGCGATCTTTATGAACAAACTAAAAGATCTCCAACAACAAACTAAATTATCTTTAACAACAAACCAAACGATCTTTAACAACAAACTAAACGATCTTTAACAACAAACTAAACGATCTTTATGAACAAACTCATCGATCTTTAAGAAAAAACTAACCGATCAATAACAACCAACTAAATGATCTTTAAAAACAAATTAAGCGATCTTTTAGAACCACATTTATAGAGACCCTGTTTTAAAAAAAATGTATATTTTGCATTATTTCCCCTCCTCCCCCCCACAATTATTGCCAAATTTTCTCCTACCACACTAATTTTTAAAAACTTGTAAAGCAATTTAAATTACTTTTATATTAAAATGGTAAAATCCAAAGTATTCATTAGATCAAGGGTCTCAAACTCAAATCATGGGGGGAGGGGGGGGGGCACAGGAAGTAGTGTTTGAATGAGAGTGTGCCGCATCAAGTAATCCACAAAAAAAGCAATTACAACTGTTACAATCTGCTCAACCTTTATAAATAACAATAAAATCATTAAGGGTTCTCAAGAACTGCTCACTGTTGCCAGAGACCTGGCATGCAAAAATATATAGAAACATAAAAAAAAAAAAAAATCAGAATTAGACTAGTCGGTGAGATTAGACTGAAACCGTCGCGGAGAGTCACGTTATAGATATGAGAATGGGGGAAACGGGCCGGCGCATTTACACTAAACTTTTCTGTCATGTAGCGGGCCGCAAAATATCGTCTTGCGGGTCACAAATGGCTCGCTGGCCGCGAGTTTGAGACCCCTAAATTAGATTTTTATTTATTAATATTTACGATTATCTCATTTTTATAAAAAGAATGTAAATATTTATATTTTCCCACATCATTTTCGATGTAAGCAGAATGTATGCGGGAACGAATTTCAAAATATCTTAATATTTCATTTTCGGTTTCGGCTTCGGTTTCGGCCGAAATTCATTTTTAACTTTCGGCTTTTCTTCGGTTTCGGCCGAAAGTCATTTTTAAACTTTCGGCCTTTTTTCGGTTTCGGCCGAAAGTCATTTTAAACTTTCGGCCTATTTTCGGCTTCGGCCGAAATCAGAAAACCACTTTCGGTCGGTTTCTATTCTACATTTTGGTAACTTATCAAGGCCCCAATGCCCCCCCCCCCCCTTTAATGTGATTCATTTTGTGGGCCCCTATCTTATCAGGGCCTTTAGGTATGTGCCTCATTTGCTGTTAGGTTAATCTACCACTGACTCCATCTGAAAAATTATATTGTACAAAAATGAACATTCATGAATGTTTGCAATTGAAAATAATTTCAAATATTTTAGCTCTCTTATAATTTTCACTCCTGAGTATTTATTCTCGTATTGCTAAAATAAAGGGTTTGTTTTTTATAATACTTGCTGTCATGGTGTCACTAAGGGAAAACTATAGTAAGACTAAAAAATTCAGCTCATGAAATACAGGGACTACATTTACGCATTGCAAAATGCATGATCCATAAACAAAAACGTAACAAAATTCACATCATAGTGTCTTGTATAAATACAACCTCCCATACATATACACCGGTGCTATCATAAGCCTATTTTATTTATCAAATCATTGGTGCCAAATATGTTTCTCATTTTAGGAATAATATGTAGATAAAGTATAATAATTATTAAATAATTATGTGAGTATAATGCTGCAGACTTGGAATACATTTAAAAACCTTTTGTGTTGTTCATGAGAAATTAAAAAAAACAGGCTCTATGACAAAAAAAATAAAAAAATATAAATATAATAACATTGAGAAAATAAATGAGTTGCACAAATATCAAGCATATTATAAAGAAGAAATTCTTGTTCATGGACTTGGTACTAGGTAAATGAGTCTTAGATGTAATCCATCTGTTGACTATTTATTTATAATTAAATAAAAATATAATAAACTCACACAATCAATTTTTGAGTTTCCATTTCTCATAATGTTCTTTACTGATGGTAATAAAATTGTCTTCCCTATATTCTTTCAGACAGAATAGGGGGGCGTACATTGACTCGTCAGCTGACTGCTGCAGATGGAACTAAAGACTTTTGGGACTTAGGTGGTGAATGGGTTGGGAGGTAAAGATGGGAAATAAAACAAGTGTTTAGTTTTCTGTTTCACAGTGATACAAGTTAATTTTGTAATTATAGTTTACTCTTCTACACCTGTCAACTTGCATGGGATATTAGTAATTTGTGCCTAATTTTGTTTCGCACTTTTTAACATTGTAATGCCCATTGTTATTTTATGTTTTTTTTATGGAAATTTTTTTTTGGAAAAGTTAAAAAACTTAATCCAACTTAACTTTATTCGAACAAATTTGAACTTTAAATATTAACAAGAAAATGGAGAAGTATTCTAAAGGTTTATCCTAGATCTTATATGAATTAGTTAAATTGGTTAAGTGTTTTGTGCACTGCTAATGTCTCTGGGGTCAGACACCCTGGAAATGAAAAAGAAAACTGTGGTAATTTAATTTAATTATCCTTGAGAACAGAATTTTTATCTAAGGGAGTTCTTCAGTATGCTAAACTATTTAAACAATTCTTAAAAAAGGATTTTATAATTTGTTTTAAAATGTTATTTTAAAATGAATAGTAGGCATAAAGTTATAATTTACAATAATACTTTTCCCCCCCATGCTTTAGGCCTCAACCTCACTTACAATATCTGCTGAGAAAATTTAACATTAACACCTTTAACCCAGTTTCTCCTCATGATGGAAGTCAACTTCATAAGTCATCAGTATTATCTTGGCAGACAAAATTTGATTTGATGCAATTTACATGGAAGGTAAGTGTCACAAGAATTATCAGAGTTTAAACAAAATTAGTCACCCATTAACAATTTTTTTTTATAAAGCTCTGTTATATAATATAATACAAGTTAATTCAGCACTTTTAAAATCTTATTTTAGTTGAAGCGACTTAATGATAAAATTTCTGGAGTTGATCTGAAAGTATCGGTAAATGCTCTTGAATGGGATAACTGCAGTTTTGATTACTTTAAGGAGGAAAATCTTTGGACTGAAGGTAATTCACTAAAAACTATGAAGAGATGTTAATAACAAGATATGGGAAAGCTTGAATTATAAATCACAAAGATATTACAATCTCAATAACATTATCCTTCTCTATATCTATTAGGTCTGAATATGGTTAGAAGCTGCCCTGAATTTTAGATTTATTAAATGATTTTTTTTTTTGTTTTTCCCTAAGTTTTCTAAGGTGCTGTTGACAGGTGAAATGAAACTTTTGACATCAATTTTCAAGTTCGAGCTTATCATCCTTGGTTTTAACACATAAATTAATAAATCGAATTTAGTAAATTTTTAAAAGGTATTCTTTTAATGGATTAATGAGACATAAGCAATTTGTGTCTATAAAGCAATATGTGTTAAGCTTTAATTATGATTAGACAATATACAAATTTAAACGTGTTGGCAAATGCCTTTGTCAGTACAACAAAAAACATTAATATAATTATAAATTAAATTTGCATAATAAAGTTATATCCTATCTATACCTAAAAAGTAAAAGAATAAAAATGGGATTAATGTCCTAGAGTGAAATTAATTCTTCTTGAATCCTTGTCATACCTTAGAGTCCAGTATTTTTTAAACTCATTTTTATACAAAATGATCAATTGAATTTGTATTCTAAATAATTTTTTTTTTTTTAAATCGAAATGAGTTAATGAAACTGTAGCTTACAATTAATGTCGTTAATTTATTTAATTAGAAAAAAAATTTGATTATTTGTTGTATCCTAATTATACCCTGTATGTAGAGTTTTATGTTTGTAACTGAATTTAATCTTTAAAAGTTTATTTAATTTCAGCTGCTAAAACTATTGTCGATTCAGCATGCAAATGTATGTTTGGCCTGGCTCCATCAGAGATGAGTTTGTTATATTTTTTGATGTATGTTAACGCTGCTGGCGGCTTGCAAGTTTTTCTGCATCCCAGAGAATTCACCGGAGGAGAATGTAGAATCAAAGTATTTTTTATTAGTTGAAATCTTTTAGAGACCATTGAAAATAAATTTTCTGCTATTTGTCCTACTTTTAGGGAAAAATAATGAAAGCATATCTGCCTTTCAGGAAAATCAATTATAAAAATAAAATAATATGTATTAATATTGACAATTGTAAAAAATTAATACAATAATTGTTATAGTGATTCAATTTCTTAAAATGTTTCTATCGTGTCAATGTATTTCTCAGGGAGGTGTTCAACAGTTGTCCTCACACTTGGTACACAGATTAGGGAAAAAATTTGTTTATCTTAACCAACCGGTCTCACACATTGTTCAGGTACATGATTAGATGATCTAGTTTTATAGTTCATGAAGGGATAATAGATGTGAGGATCACCTCAAGTAGTGTAAACTAATGATCACATCAAGGAATATTTATAAAAATGTCCTTTAATTTTGCTTTGTGAAATTAAAATAATTTTGTTGTATAAAATGATATAAATATATTTTTAAATCTCTGAATAATAATTTTAAAAAAACCCAAACATATCCTTTGCAGTCAATTGAAGGAGCCCGTGTTGTTACTTCTAATAACTTGCAAATTTTATGCCAAAGAATTATAATGGCCATACCACCCCATCATGCAGGTTAGTATGTTTTGTTCTCTTAAATATTTAAATATGTCTTAAGCACTTCATTATATTGAAATAATAATAATATTATACAAATTGGGGAAAATTTCTTTTTTTATTCATATATTATTTATCAGCTGCCATAAACTACTCCCCGCCGCTAGCCACTGCAAAACTTGGGCTGTTACAGAGTGTTCCTCTTGCGTTTTTGGTAAAGTTTGCTGTTACATATGAAGAGGTTTGTAATACAAATTAATAATCGTTTCTAAAAAAAAATTGTAAATGCCATCCACACAAAAAATAACCTTATTTAGAATATAATATATCTAGATTAGCCAAACACTTTTTATGCTGCTTAAAGAAATTGCATTTATACATTTTTAATTCTTGTAAGAAAAGTTATATTCAGAATAGTAAGCAAGAGTTGCAATGACACCACTTGGATACTCTTATACCACTAAAATGTGCAACTTCTATCACTAATTATTTTAAAGTTTCAAATGTTTTTGAATTCGGTATCAAAACTATGCTTAAATTCTACAACAGGCTTTTTGGAAGCTAGACAATGACAAGTATCAGTATGGATTCCAGGCAATTTTGGAAAATAATGAACTGGGTCCAGTAGGGATTGTGTATGATGCTTCGTCAGGAAGAGGAAATCCTGCACTTGCTGGTTTTATTTCATCATCCCAAGGCTTAGATGGGGATGTAAGTCTGACAGTAAACAGATAAAGCTCTTACTCATCAAAAACAATATGAGAAGAAAAAAACAACAGTCTGGTACAAGGGTTCTTAACCTGTTCGCAGCATTGCAATACCCTTGATTTAAAAACATTTTCTACACCCCCATCTTGATTTAAAAACATATCTCTGTATCTTCACCCATATGATTATCAAATGCTAATAAACTTTTACTGGGTCTTACCATACCCCCTGACACTGCTCCCCACACCCACTGGTGGTTTCAGGCACCACTGGTTAAGACCCCTGGTCTAATAAAATTAAGCAATGAAATTACTTGAACTTCTTTAATTTTAAAGTAATTAATGGTTTTTGTATTAATGAATGATCGACACATTTTATTATAAAGTCTCTAATAATATCTGTTACATTACAAGTAAATTAAAAAAAATCATAACTTTTAATATTATTGAAAACATTAAAATTAATTTGTTTAAACTGTGACAAGCTTTTTTTTTTAACGCCTTCCAAACAAGTAATACCAGTAATCTTATTATTAAGGATAAAATAATTTTTTTTTTTCAGCACATAAAAAAAAAACAGAAGGAAAAAAACACTGTTTAAATGAAGATTGTGCGATTAGATGCTAAAGGTTGTGCATTAGATGCTAAGAATGTCAATTGTTGAAAGTCTTTGATATAATGTTCTTGTTAAAATATATTGAACATTTTCCTTTCAGCCTAAAAATCGTAGAGCTATCATCATGAGATTAATAGAAAATCACCTGGGTCCAGAATGTCAAAAGATTTTGGAGTTTTCTCAAATGGATTGGAGTAAAGAACCATTTAATGGCGGATGCTTTCTTAAGTCACTCATGCCAGGAACTACCAAATACTTCAATAGTGAACTAAGGGAACCCTTTGACAGGTCACTTTAAAGAGCAGTTTTACAAAAAATTTCACCATTGCTTTATTCACTTGTATTATTACTAAATAACTGGTTCACTACCATAAGCTGCTGGTTGGGCCATCCTTTCCTTCTGTCATGAGCCGCTTTTAACGTCTTGGTTTATTTAATGGTTTAACTAGTAATATATTTATATTCTTACTTTTGTTTCGGTTAATTTACCGCCTGGAAGATAGTTAAAAAGCCAGTCATTCTGTATAAATTTTGAACCTTTTCTAATTTGGTGTAGATGTGATTACATAAATTATGAGAAGTGTAAATTATAATTAAAATTTTTTGAAATTCAAAACTTGAAGGTCAGTTGGCTATTTTTATAACTTTTGAATAATTTTCTCTTGCAAATCATAATTTAATTTAACAATTTTTTTTTTATCTTAAAGAAAATTCATTTGTCTACAAATGAGTATATTACTTATAAAAATATGTAAATAATTAAGAAAACTGCAACTGAATGTTTGCAGAGACCTTGCATATGGGAAAATATGGCCTACATTTAATTCAGCCCCACACTGTTTTTCAATGTAGTAGCTAATTAGTTAATATAACTTGGGGAGTTAAAAGCTCCTTTTGCAGTTTATTTGACTTTTGAAAAAATAATTAACTAGAGACTTCAGCGCCTTCCACTTATTATAAATTTTTTAATCAAAACACTCAGGGTAAGTTCATAATATTTTTTTTCTTTTCAGAATCCATTTTGCAGGTACAGAAACTGCAACAGTTTGGTGTGGTTTCATGAATGGAGCTGTACAATCTGGGTTTAGGGCAGCAACTGAGGTACCGGTATTAATAAAATGTTTCATTCCATAATTTAGACTTATTTTCTTCTAACTTAGTTTTAAAATAAAATATAATACGGTACTAATAGTGTTCAGTGTAGTTGCATAAGATGTTTCTAAAATTTAATTTGAATAATTGCATCAAACTGGATTGTATAGCAGACCTGTTTACTCTTACGATATTTGCATACAATGTACGATTTTTAGATGTCTTTTACGATTTTTTTTCAGAGACCTGATGAAAAATATTTGGGTAATTTTTTAAGATTAAAAATTTAAAAAAGTGAATTTTGGGTTGTGGAAGTTTTAGCCCTTTCTAATAAAGATCTGCAGTGAATGGACCGATAAAAACTATTGGTTGTAATTTTTTAAAAGTTGGGATCATCCTTCATTATATTTGCACATACTGATAGGGGAGGTGGGGAGGTTGTTGATTAAGAAATTTGTGGCATATTATTGTTCAAACAGCTCTGGTGTTAGAATTTGGCTGCATTGACGGATGTGCACATTGCATGATTTTAATGTTACCATTAATGGAATGGGCGATCCTTTTTGTTTTCAGTACCCTAGTTTAGCTTACTAAGTTAGTATATTACGATATGGCCTCGACAAAAAGAAAGGCACACGAAAGCGATGATGAAGAAGAAACATCAACTTCTATCGATAAACATCAGATTAAAAGAAAAAGAAAGTTTATCAGCAAATATTCTTGCTTGAATATCAGACAAAATTTACTGAGTTGTGTTCTTCATCAAAGGTTCCATCTTACGCGCACTGCACAAGTCTGCAAGTCAGAATTTTCTTTAGCAATCAGAGGTAAAAGGAGTGGTGTTGCTTTAGGAAATTTTGTGTATGTCGTGGGTCTAAATATTTAAATCTATACAATCAACACCGCCACATATTCATTATAACAGTTGGGGGAGGGGGGTTGGTGGTGGGGGGTCGGGGAGTGTCCTCGGCAGAAAGTATGTGCGTTATTAAAAAATTCTACAATATTCATCCCGACACTCTGAAAGTCCAAAAATAGCATATTTATATCTCGAATGCTGTAAAATACCACTCAGTGTTTAGTTGGAATTATCGTCGTGATGTTGTCAAGATGTATTTTCACAATTGAACTCGCAAGCTATACTCAATAGTAGAGGTATCAATAACGTTTAGTCCTGCGAATGTTCAGAGCGCGCGTGACAGATATTTCATTGGGCTACGCCAGTGGTTCTAAAATTTTCATTTCCCTGCGCCCATGCCAGGTTACCGAAAATTTGTTTGAAAGAAATTTCGCAGACGGAAGTTTGGTCGAATTTAAAAAAAATTATTTTTTTTTAGTTCACACGATAAAATTTTCGTCAAATTTCTTTTTGAATGCACTATACTGTATAGTAAAACAAAAGAAGATAAGATAAGATTCTTTTATTGATCCAAATAAATGGAAATAATGCGTTCAAAAATAAATTTCATAGGATCTGAGAGGGCCTTTTCAATTTATAAAACACAGAAAACTGCTGTTTGATTTTTAATACCCATCTTCCTTTCACTCAGCTTGTGGAGGTTATCAGACAGTAATTTGTTAACTGGAAATAGGCATAATGGATATTTATTATTAATTTTGTTAAAACAGCTTCTCCCAAAAAAAATAACTCTCAGGTTACTTGGTAGTTTTTTGTTTATTTTTAATGACGCCCCAATTTGTTACAGCGTAGTTCATTCTTATTTTAATACATTTTCTATTATGCTTATCTGACTTCGAGTTTGAACCATGTTTAATTTTACCAGGGAGTTTATTTTTACGAGTGACAGACTGGGATAATGTGATCTGCACGTTCACCTTAATATTAATTGATATCTATAGCAGATACACATATGCAAAACAAAGTGATAGCAGTTTGCAGTTAACGCCAGTCATCTACTGTTAACCTTCAGTTCCATTTGTGGACGTCAGCTTAACTCGATTCCACTACTAGCTTTTTGTATACTTTATATATACTGTATTTTTATTATTCACTACTAAGATACTGTATTGTACGATTTATAGACAATATTGTACTATTTTAGGAGTTTTAGGGTAAACAGGTCTGGTATATGACATAGACGTATTATTATATGCCATGTGCATGTAATAAAATGCTTGTCTTCCAGAAAGTTAACAAATATACAATCCAACATGTTTGAGGATAAAAACAACTTCAGGTACATCTGTGGACTGTTTAATTCTCAAATATAACTATAGATGTATATAATATTTAAATGTTGATTTGCTATCCTATCACTTGATTCTAATTTTTAAATTTTTCATTATCTAAGGGAATTAATAATTAAGCAAAGATAATCATTGAAAAATTGCAAATCGATGTTCAATATTTTATTTCCAAACAAAAAACAGGAATAAACGAAAATAAATTGGAATGCACAACAAAATGAAGATTCAAATAATTTGTTTCGTTATTTAAGTAAATTTAAAAATCTGGATTTTTTGTGCTATATGTTATTGCAGGTTCTCTATCATCTTCGGCCATTGATTATTGCCTCACCTGACCCAGAGGCACTGCATCTTCCTGATGAAAATTCCACTAGCACACCGATGAGCACAAACTGGCTAACCTGGGCAGCAGTGGGTATGGGATTTGCTTCTGCAGTCTATTTTTTGGCAAAGAGTAACAATATGTCATCTTCAGCAACATTTGTGAAAAATATAAGACTTGTTTTTGATGGAAGTTAACAAATGCCTGTTTGATTAGGTACTGTTTGAAATATGAAGTCTTTATATTAACTGAGTTAAAGGTACTTGTCTTTCAGATTTTCTAGAAGTATTTACAAATATAATTTCCAAAACAAGTAAATGGAAAGATATTGCTGAGGATACTGAGATGCAGATGATTTATTTTTAGTGAATGTCTGCATTTAATATTTAAAAATTCTTTGTGCCATAAAGTTTTTACCTCTATTTGTTGATCATTATATTTAACAAAACCATCATTGACAAGTTTGATGATACTTTATATGTATGTTAATTAAGCAGACTCAACAAAAAAATATGGGGTTTAATTAAAAAGTTAATTTTAAAAAATCCTTTTGTTGTAATTTAAGATTTAATAAAACTTTCTTTGATAATTTTTGGCCATTTAGATCGTGGATTTATTATTTTTGTTAAATGCAAAATAAGTTATGTTTTGGGGAAATATTCACTTATAGATTTGAATTTTTAAAATGTATCATGTAATAATGTTATCTTTTTTTTTTTTTTTTTATTTTTGTTTTTTTTATTTTAATTTTTTTTTTTTTTTTTTGTTTAACATTGGTTGCTGTAATTTAAATAAATAAATAAATAATTGCAATATTTCCACTTTAAAAAAAAAAATCCTAAATATATGAATGATTTAATTTTTCCGTTTGGTTTAACTTATTAATGTTTTCTTTTGCGTTTGGGTATACCTGTTTTCCTGGGGACTTTTTAAAATCTTTTGATAGCATATTTTAACATCTCTATATGAATAACTCAGAGCATGTGAGAAAATGTAGTCTTTTTGCAGTTATTTCATGTCACATTGGTTTAAATCACATGCATCCAATACCATACTTGATTCACTTTGTTCTTCAAAGATTTTCATTTTTTAATGATTTATGTTAATAAATAACCATGCTAATTATGCTGTATGCCGTCTCCTTTTCTGGTTTGTTTTGTACTATTTTAGCTGTACATGCTATTAAGTAGTGATAATTAAATTTAGATTTTTTTTAACTGGTTACAATTCTTGTGTGTTTAAATAGTCCAAGTTAAAGCAGTGTAAATTTTGCTGTAAATTTCTCATTAAAAAATCTAACAAAATACCTTTCAAACACATGAGGAAAAAAAACAAATTCAGGGTACATAAGTAGGTTGTTTAATTCTCAAATATAAACAAAGCTGTTATTTACATGAAAGCTATAATAAATTTCTTAATTATGAAGAAAATATATTTCTTTTCAAACTAGTGCAACAACCAAAAGAAAACAAGAGCCATTTTCAATCAATGTAATGTTAACCCGTAAACTATACAACAGTTGTCAAAACAAATTTCAAGAATGTCCATCAATCAAGAAAAATACCAATGTATATCAAGGGCTAGCAATCCCAGAATAATCTAATGAAGTGTCTAAGTTTACTTATCCAGGGATAAACCTCTAAAAACAGAAACTAAACATTTCACCTAATGAAATATGACAAAATACAGTATATTAAATTTTGCATCTAAGGACTAACATAAAAACTCTCACCTCTCTTGAGTGTCAAATAGTTGTTTTTTTTATTATTTTAAAAACTGTCAAATTATATTTAAATGTAGTACCAGGTACAAATCATCACACCTGTCCCTTATTTCTTCTAATTTTATACAACATAAACATGAGTTAACATTTTGAATAACATGTATACTTTGACATTAGTCCTTAATAACAGGATCCAATGACCTAAGAATTATAATAACAGGATCCAATGACCTAAGAATTAACTAAAAATTATATAAATGCAGGAAGCATTAGAAACAATGTTAATTATAAATATTTGAATCTGCTAAAAGAAATCGAGACAAAACAAGATATCTGTATTGAATTTTTGGGTGGCATACCTTGATTGCAAATGCAAGCCCAAAAGGTATTCAAATTAGTGATGTTTAACATATTTAAGACTTGATAATGATAATAAAACATTTGATCTTGTAATTACAACAAACATACTAAATTTTTATATGATAAGAAACCAGCAAAAAATAATTATATTGAATATGGTATATTATGGTATTATTAGCTAAGAAGAAGAATACAGCTTTCTGATGATTATTTAATGTTATATTTCATCCTAAAATTTGACATTTAGAGAATAAATATGTTGTTTGCCAGTTCTTAACTTTTTTGAGAACTAATGGTATGTTAACATAAAACAGTAACATAAAATTTTAATAGACTATTTCATGTGTTACGAAACTAATACCACAACACTTCAATAATTTAATAATTTAACTGTTGTTTTAACCAAATTTTTTATACAAAATGAAAGTTTACAAACATCTTTTAATGTGGAAAGTTAAATGAAACAACATACCAGATTAGTAGAGGAAAATTGGAAACAAAATTTTTCGCCTTCCCATATTTTTCATTTACAATTAATGATGTTTTAAAATAGATACTTGGTGAGTTACCATACTTTCCCAACATTTATTATCCAAGATAAGTTTACAATAAACTATTTAAAAAAATTAAAAGTAAGCCTTTTTTTTTTTAATCTTTACCTTGAATATTGATTTCAAAATACACCATGGTTATGCATGAATTTGTATAAATATATACAATCATTTAGCCTTATCATTACTTATTCATACAACATATACATACTATTTTATGTTAGAATAAATATGATTTTGTTGAATATAGAATTTAAATAGTCATGTAAAGCTCCAAAAATACTGATAACTGGGTAGCATACATCCACAATTTTTTATTTTTAAAAAAAAAGGGAGAGGGGGAGTGTATCCATATTGATTTGATGGGGAAATAGAGTGCAGTATGGAGTAACTCTATCCTAATCATTCGTTTTTCTTATTAATCTAATCATTCGTTTTTCTTATTAATCTGCAAGTTTTTCTTATTAAATTTATAAATAAAAAAAATAAGGAAAAAAAATAAATGACTACCGATATTATACTTGTGGGACAAAAATAAATCTAATGAAGGCATTACAAAATAAAGCAAAAAGGAGATGATGTTACTTTGAGCTAGTACTAAAATTTAAAATAATGACGATTCATCCACAGCTACAATTCAAAACTGGAAACACAAAATGATTGACCTTTAAATTATAATAGAATTGCCAACATTTTTGAGAAAGCACCAATGTATAGAGAGAATAAGGTCAAATAGTCATTTAGCAACAGGGAATTCAAACCTTAGTCCAAATGCACCAATCACTGATATTGTTTAGATAAAAAAAAACTATTTTGAAAAATATATTTTTAATTTAAAAAATCACTTGACCTAAAAAGTGGGTAAGAATCAGATTTACAAAACTACTCAATTTTAAATGTAAAGGACATAACAAAAAAAAATATATTTAAACCAAATCCATTATTATAATAGTTACAGTACAGTACAATTTCAACAACACACAATCCTAATTAATAGAGTGCAAACACTTTATACATAAGGCCTTAAGACTCATTTGTAAGTTCTACCCTAGGGTAAATGTAGGAATATAAAGAAAACAATCTCTTCTTTAATGTTGAGATGCTTTAAAAAACATAACTATTTATTTGAAACAGAATAAAGTTTGTAACGGCTGTCAAATAATAAAATCCTGATAAGATTTTTTAAGCTCCCTTTTTGCTGATTAATTTGTGGAAGAGCAAGTTAAATCTGAACAAAAAAATTGCAAGGAAATAAAAGTGTATAAATCTCAAGTTCCATGAAATTGTTTTTAGTAAAGATATTCGAATTTAATTTGTGTTTTCATTATGTAGTTTAAAGTCAAATATCATACCATTCTCTTATGGAAATTATTTGAATCAGCAATTTTTATATCCTTTGGTACGCTAAAAAAATTAAAGAATTTTCTAGGATTCAAATTATCAGTTTCTTGGAGATGAGCGAGTCATTCACACATTATATTAAGTTTGGTGACAAAGTGTGACATTGTCGTGCTTCATTCAGGTAGGTGATGCTATAAATTATATAACTGGAACACTTTTTCTAACAATAAAATTATGCCACAAAAATATTTTATAAACTGATTCTTCAGACAATTTTTATACCGTACTTTTTCCTTTCTTAAACTTGTTTAATTATTTTAAAGACATTATGTAAAAAGTTCATTTGGAAAACAAAGAGATCCATGTATGTCTGGTAACTTCCCATGTCAAAGTGTCATAAGATATTGCTTTTTTTAATAGATAGAATTCGGTAACAAATTGGAATAAGGAAGGTGTAGATGACTCAATAAACACAGTGTGAGAATCAACAAGACTGGGTAAAATCATTTTGTTAATTAAAAGTCCAGTTCATTTGTCTTTTGCCTTCACATTGTTGTATTCTGTTAATTAATGAAATAAAAGTATTACCAATATAAGTAAAGGTCTGATGAAATAAATTTGCAGTCACGCAATATTTTTATCATAAAATTTTAATTTAATTAACCTCATATATTTTTTTCAACAGAATATGGCCATAAAACAATACAATATACAAAAACTTTAATATTAAATATTAGATAATGGTCATTAAATTTATATTATAACAAATAAAATAGATCTTCTAACAATAGCTGATAAAATGACAAGCCACTATAGATTCTCTCTTGCATAGGTTCTAAAAATAAAACAGTGTTTGTTTACATGCACTGCAGAAACTGTTATGAATGATATCTTGTGACCAAAGCAAATTATTTATTCATCAAAAAATAGTTTTACCAAAGTTAGCTTTCATCACTTTCTTCTGAAAAGGATTCATTCAATTTCTGTTTAAACCTGAGTCTCTGCTGTTACTTTGTTTACATGTGTTAAAAATCAACAGAATATCTTAGGGAAATACTTCTCTTGTCTTTGAATGACATGTGCTCTATTTTTTTTCCTTTAATGTATTAGTATTAGAAAATGTAAAAATAATGCTGTAATAAGGTAATATTTATAAAATGCCAAAGAGTTCTTGCATTTTAAAGATCATCCATTTTTATAGAACATTATTAAAATGGTTGACCAGCAAAATAAGAAACATGACAGATTTGTGTCTACTTGTTCGTTGTGTAAGGGGACATTTTATGGCCAATGGATAAACTCTGAATAATTAGAACAACATCTTTAATAAAAAGAAAGGATCTAAAAATTTGAAATGCGTAAAAAATGTGTTGTTTAATTTTCTTTTTCTTTCACAGTTGTGGTGGCTTTCACTACTCTGTTCATAGCTTTTATTATCGGCTGCACATACTTGCTTGTTAGCTGATGATGGCGCAATCCCGGTGTCAGCAAGACAAAGTTTACTAAAAAAGAATAAATGTATTATAGCCCTTTACTTTTTTTTCACTTATAATAATTAATGTTGATTTAGTTGAAATATATTACTTGTACTTTAAATTCTAAAATTAAAGTACTTTTAAAATAAAAATCCAGCTAAGTTGATGAGCTCCCAGCCGCACCCTCATAATATTAGGATACTCCTTGAATGAAAAAATTGCACATTCATTTTTCTGTGGCTATTCGCACCCAGGTAACAGAAGTGAGAGGTTGGGATTAAAAAACTATTTAAAATATTATTGTTGGGTTTGTAAGACAAAATGAGGTATCAAATGAAAGACAATTGAAAACTAAATATGTTTGTAAACTTACTTCTTGAGTTTAACTAAAATAAACTACCACAAATGACATCCGAATAGCATTTAGTCAAAATGGCCCCGGACACGCAGTGCCGCCATTTCCACCTGGGTCCCATTAGACTAAAAGTTTTTCCAATGTGTTTATAGCTTTTAACACATGGTTTTCTTTGTATTAATAACCAGTGTTTGAATAATAGGATAAAGTTCAAAACATACAAGGTTTAAAAATACATTTTTGCTATGAATAATTTTAAAAAAATAGTAAGTTATGTTACATACCTATAAGGTAGAAGAGAACAAGATTGTCAATTAGATTTCCAATCCAAGCTGTTATTGTCAGAATTGCCATAACAATGAAGAAGAACTGAAACAAATAAAATGAACTTGAATGGATACTGCTACAAATATTCAAATGTTATTCACAAAAATGTTTTGTGTATTTTAATCTGACATATTTAAAAATATTTTTTATCTTAGCTGCTCACCAATTTTGCATTTTGATGTCTCATTGTTGAAAGTCCTCGCCACGTATCTATTACTTCCTGTCTAATACCTGCTACCTTCTCACAAATAGCAGTGAAATCTGATTCTTCTTTTGGCCCCCTATTAAGAGAATTTTAATTAACGCTATTCAAGCAAATCTAAAAAAATAAAACAGCAATAGACATGATTGTTTATAACCCTGGTTCCCATACCAATGGGTCTAGAGGCTTAATGGGGTTACAGAGAAGGTTTTTTTAGTGGGTTTGCTGAATGAAAAAGTAAACTAAAAAATTATTGATTGAAAATTGAAAGGCATTTTTATAAGACTGATACTGTTTTCTATGTGTTATTTTTCTCTTACCATATGTGGGTCATGGGCACGTTGCTGCTATAAATTGGTGTCTCAACTAAAAAATGGTTTGGAACCTGTAGTCTATAATGTCGTTTATCTCGCTTTACTTATTCTTAAAACAAATTTAATTGTCTAAATAAAATCAATTTTAAAAAGTTTCTGGAACATTAAGATATATTTACCAAAGTTATTAAACACAGTAGTAAATATTAATAAATAGTCTATATTAATAAAAATTTAAACATAATTAAAAGTACCATGATTTGTATCCGGTTATTGTAGGACCCATGAATGGAACAATAAAGTCAACGATACCAATTATCATGCCTAAGAATGATAGAGCAGTTAGTGCAGACATTTCTGTATACCAAACAAGGCTGAAATAAATGTTAAAAAAGATATATTTAACTAAATAGAAAGATATATTACATTTTAAAATAAAAATAAAACATATTAATGACAGAACAATTCACCTGACTTAATAAATTATTTAAAAATAACTTACGAAAAAAGGAATGTGGTTGTTCCAACTATGATTGCTGGGTAATAAGGCTGATTCCATAGAAGAAGACTTTCAAGTGGAAGAAGAACTTCTTTCCAACCAGATAAATCTCGTTTTATGTCAGATACTTCATCAGTAAACTCTCCACCACCAGCAAACTATTTTTAAAAAAGGCAAAATCCAAACGCTTATTTATTGTTATCAATCTTACTGTGGTGTAATCATGGGAAGCTCATCAGAAATAAACATGAATGCTGAAAAATTATAATGTACTACGGCTAACCGGATGCATTTTTTTTTTTACCAGGTGGGTCCAATGTTACAAAAAAATAGTTAACTTCTCATTTTCTATAAATAATAGGCATACAGACAGTCCTACACCCTGTCTGCCAGCATTTTAACAATAGGTCCACAGACAGTCCTACATACTACCTACAAGCATTTAAACAATAGGCCAAAAGACAGTTCTACACCCGGCCTGCCAGCATTTAAACAATAGGCCTTCAGACAGCCCTACACCCTACCTGCCAGCATTTAAACAATAGGCCTACAGGCAGGTCATACACCCTACCTGCCAGCATTTAAACAATATGCCTACAGACAGTCCTACACCCGCCCTGCCTGCATTTAAACCTGAACACTGATTTCACCACTGACAACCCCATAAACAATTACACCCGAAACAATACCAAATGCTTCACTGTGTCTCGGTGTAACACTGTGCAGTATAAACAATCATTCTTCCCCCGCACAATAATCGCTTGGAACCGCCTGGAAAATGTCGCCGTGGACTCGACATCAGTCGAAAGCTTCAAGGCTGCCCTGGCATCTGCTAGGAGCTGTTAGAATAGCAGCATCGCTCCCCAACCGTTGCACAGTTGCCAGTATATGGATGCAGCTATGAAACAACCAGAACCAGAAACAATAGGCACACAGACAGTCCTACCCCGAGTTTAACTGTCCCGCATGACATCGCTGCTGGACAGCTTTTTTTCCCCCACTCAGTACTATTAATAGTATTAATTATAAAACATGTTGAGTAGGGGGAGGGCCAGTTGTGAAAATGAAGCAGGACACACCAGAGGCAAAATAACAGAGTAACAGATAATGACCTCCCAACCAACTCACATTGTAGTCACAAAATCAGTGCAAGGTTTTTTCATATCAAGTTAAAAACACCGATTAGATGTTGCAACATTATTAAAAAGAACCCGATATTCACGATTCATTCAAAACCCTCAGTCTCAAAGCAAATCTTTTGAGAAACATCATGATTTTAGAAACACACAACGCTGTAGCAGACTTTAAGTAAGCAAAGCTTGATCAGCATTTGGGAATCGATCACAAAATATGATATGCCCTAGCCTTAGCGTTTAATCTACCACAAGACCACACAAGAATCATATCTAACAGCTGTATCTTATGACGAGGCCAGTGGTTAATTTTTGTAGCCGTGCATGCAGGCCTTGGTACATGGTTTTGCAGCACTCTTCAGAAGGGCGGTCCCAAATTAAAAATATAATACTATTCATTAGAAAGTGTACGGCTTGCAGCCTAATAGCCGAAGATAACTGGTGACCTAATTTTTTACTTCAAATTTTGTTTGCAGATGAATTATTGCTTGTAATAATATAAAATAAACAATACCATGTCCGGCAGACAGTAAGCGTCGGTTCATATTTCAAATAATGTTTTGTCAGGAAACATTCTACAAGTAACAAACTTATACTGATGACACAATGCCGAAGGCAGTGTATGCTTTGGTTAGTGTGGCTTGCTGAACACCGTCTATTATAAAACAGAAATTCAACAGAGATAACCTATGTTTCTCTTTTGCATTTCCTTTCTTCTACTTCTTTCATTTTTTAAAATTTATTTCAAGAGATGAGGATGATGAAGAGCCTCATGAAGAGGCTGATGAAGATCGCGGTCTTAAAAAAATGAATACTTTTAAATCACCAATTATTGGCGGCATTTAGCCGTACACTTTCTAATGAATAGTAATATCTTTTATAATTTGGGACTGCCGTTCTGAGGAGTGCCGGTTTTGCTAGGTATACCTCAGCGGAGTATACAGGCCTAGGGCCATGGCTTTGCTAGGTGCACCACCATGGTGTACACAACCACTTCACTTAGTTTTGCAGCTAAGGCTAAGTGTTTATTTTATATTGTTTTTAATGTTCTTTGTTCAATGAATGCTAATATTAAAATGTTTGCTTTTTTGTTGCATTCGTTCATTCTTTTTTTTCAGGTTTTCCCATACTCATACTTTGTTTAACTCATTTTCTTTTACTCTTCGGCTTCGCCTTAGTTCTCAGGCTTAGTTTTAAGAAAATTTTGGTTATTGATTGATTGATTTTATATTTATATCGCGCTGGTATCCATGCAACTTTAGCAGGCTCACTGCGCTCTGGTTTTCCGAAATCTATTTAAAAAAAAAAGTTTTAAAATATTTCTTTAATGATTTTTTATCATTTTCCATTCCCCTCAAAGATTGAGGCAAACTGTTCCATAATTTTGGCGCTATCGCTTCAAAAGAGTAAGTACTGTGTTAAAGACCGCAGGCTCTTCAAGGATACATGTTTATAAATTAGTTCTTTCAGATATTCCGGTGCTGAGCAATCTATGCAGCTGTATTCCAGGGGTAGAATTTTGTATTTAATGCGCTCACTCACAGGAACCCAATGCCAATGGAGATCTTGCAGAACTGGTGTGATGTGGTCAGATTTCTTCATCCGCTATACAATGCGTGCTGTAGCATTTTATATCTTTAAGAAGTCTCTGAATTTGTTTCTGAAGTAACAAACAACTATTAAAATAATCTAATCTTGACTGGATTAGAGTTACCGCTACAGCATTGGCTGTTCTCCTATCGAGTTGAGGACACAGCTGACCCAGGGCACGCAGATGACAAAAGCATGCCTTGACCACAGAACTGATATGGGGAATCATATTAACTTTACTGTCAATATAAAAGCCAAGGTCTCTGACAGTTGAGGACAACAGGATCTCTGATTCACCAACCTTTATTGATGCAATGGCAACTTTCCGAAGATTGGCGTCTGAACCACAAATAATTGCCTCAGTCTTATGATCATCATTTAATTTTAGTCTGTTTGATGACATCCGTTCTTTCACAGCATACTTTAACTTAGTAAGGCTGTGTTAACCAGGTCTAAAAACTAAGACTATAAAACAAGGCTTTACTGTTACTTAATAATTTACTTTATTCTAAGTATTCTAAGCATTATAATTACGAAGTGTCTACACGTCTGGCGCGCCGGACAAATAGTGCGCAAATAGTGCAGCATGTCACGTGACCGCCGGACGGCTAGTAGTTTTTATAATTCCTAACGAAGTGCAGTGTGGTAGATCTTGTGTGGTCTTGTGGTCTTGACGATATTATTGTTTGAGGATCAATACTGGGGATAGGATCGTTTTTTTTTTCTTCCCATTTTAATTAAAGATCTTTTATACTATATTTATATTATCATGTTCATCAGCAACAGTAGTTTCATGTGAAGCTTTTAAATATTTTGTAGCAATTTAAAGAATTTAAAATTAAATCTTACTTTTATTGGTTGCCTACTCCACACTGGCCCCTAATTTATTTTATGGATTACTGGTACACAAACTCAAATAACAAACTAAACAAAAATGTTTACAAGCCACTTTCACTTAAGTTTTTTTCTATTATTTACATTCAAGATACTCAGTACATTACTTGGTAGAGTAAATAGATTTTAAAATTAATAATAGTTTTGAATCATTCGCAGTCAAGATATCTCTCGCCACTTTGTTACGGCGGTTATGTGACTTGGTCGCTGGACAAAATAGTGCTGGAGATATACGTCCGGCGCCCGGACGTGTAGACACTGCCTTATAATTATCATATTAGTATTAGACACTGCCTTATAATTATCATATTATGATTCTCTTCTAAGTTTTACAATTTTATCTAAGAAAGGCGAGGGAAGCTGTGAGTGGTTGAGAATCAAGGGTAGCGACTCAGCAAGTCGCAAGTCACATTCTCCTCATGATTCAATGATACTCAGGAAGTATGATTCATGATACTGTCATAACTCATACTTGGTATAAGTATACTCTCAAATCATACTTCTCACTGCAGTTAATTATAATGAAAATGGACGTTTGTCATAAAACAAGAAAATTTAGAAAAGAAAAAGTGAATAGATCAATAAATTTATGATATTCGTTTTGTTATAGGCTTATCTAGGACTGTACTCACCGACATTTCAGCCATATTAGGCATTTGGGCTCTTTTTCGGGAAACAATATTAAAGTTCGCCATGGGTAACTACTGTTTTAAACCAACGACCAACGCTAATACTAATACTAATACTACTTACTACAGTAATATACAAATCTGGTCTAATACAATAAAACAATTGATTTAGAAATAGCAATTAAAATTAAACATTTTTAAATTTACCTATTCACTTCTTTTTTAAAGTAACCCTTATTAAAAACTAATCTTACAAAAAATAAAACTGAAACTAAGGCCAATAATTTTTTTTTTTTTTTTTATCAGAACAAAAAGTATGTAGCAACAGAATTGTGAATAAGCATAATTATTTTCTTATAAGTAACCCTTATTAAAAACTAATCTTACAAAAAATAAAACTGAAACTAAGGCCAATAATTTTTTTTTTTTTTTTTATCAGAACAAAAAGTATGTAGCAACAGAATTGTGCATAAGCATAATTATTTTCTTATAGAACGTTTGAGATAGATATTCTAACGAAAATTGTGAAAAACATTTGTTTACATCTCGGGTTTTCTCGATATGTCATTAAAATAATAATATTCATTTAAATAAAATATTAATTTAAACATATGTTTAAACAAATATATTTTTTGAAAATACATCAGTTGAATATGTGCAGAGTAATTTTATTTTTGAATTGTTTTCATCATATTCCTTGTCAGAATAAATAGTTTATTTTGATTGGTTAAAATGTAAGCCTCTCTCGTCTCGAGTAATAATACATAGAAGCTTGATTGTCACTGTCATGTCCGAGCAATAGAGAAAACCCACGAAACTAGACCTTTGGTATATGGCAATCTTCTCTCCTTAAGATTTCCTACAAGAACAAATCAAATATAAAACAAGCCATCTGCAAGATGTCTAATGTAAGATTTTATTTTTCTATAATCTTTCAGAATTAAAGAACTTTTAAAATTCAAAAATGGCCTAGGCTTAAGAAGGCAGGGCCACTTTTTTGTGTGTACTATTAACTAATTTAAACTTAATTAAAATAACTACTTTATGACTTAAACTTGTTACGTTATTAATGGCTTAGCCTACGGCCTACGCCTAATCAAATCATAATCAAACTTCCGTTGTAAAGAAAGATCAATCAATTATTTGAAGGTGATTGAAATGAAGTACCATGACATTAGATATTAGATACTTTGGTCAAAAATTTAAACATTTTGTAAAAATAAACCAATGGCATAGTTGAATAGAGCTAAATTTTTACAGAATTATAACACCAAAATTATATTTTTAGCTGTTGTAGTTTTAAAGCTATGAATTTTTAAAGTACGACTTGGTTTGTCCTTTTTTAACATGGACTGCATCTCCACATTCTGTGACCTCATTCCGCTCATCGCGTCATGCGCAATGACTATATAGTTTATATAAGGCTAAGGCATTCCCTCATCACTAAAATACTGTTTAGGGTCGACTTATTTTAAACTTTCAACTTTGGCACATGAATAATTAATTAAGGAAGTGATTATTCACAGAGCTGTGCGGATAACGCTCGCCGTTATTCACAGATTTCGGTCTGCCGATAACGCTAAACGTTATTCACAGAATGTGATAAATTAATTAATGAATATAAAGTACAAAGTTCGTTTATACACATCTCCTCGGTAGAGTAGTGGTCAGTATCTCCGACCGTCACCCAGCAGACAAAGGTTCGATTCCCCGTCGGGGAAGCCTCATTTTTATAAATAAAATTTAAAAACAAAATATTTAATGGTTATTTCGTAGTGTTATATTATAATAATATTCTTCCTATAGCTTTCTTTTTCTGTTCACATAGTTTTATTGTTATTTTCATATAGTTTTGTTACTTATGTTACAAGTTTCAATCTATTTTGTTAGAATGTTCATTCAAGTTTCGTTAAAAAAATGTAAACAACATGGACATGCAATATGCAGATCAGCCGCATAAACCATGTTTAAGTCAGATACAGCTGTTCTAACTGTACATTGTGATATACTTTTAGCTCTTTTGACTGTTTAATTTTCTTTGTATAATTCCACTCATAGACTTTAACATCCATTTGTTTT